GCATCTTGTTCACAGTAAGTAACGACTTTAGTCATGATTTGCATGTTTGCAATGGACAGATGGTTGATGAGATCCATGCAACCTATATGCTACAGCTGTGATTGGTCCTTAGTTTAATGCAGCCTATGTGTTTTGATGGTCCGCCTAGAGTTTCAGGTGGTCATTGAACAATTTCACTTCACTTTATCATTAAATAAAGATTCTCCTGAGCGTAGAAAAACAGTAAGTAAGTTTTCCTCTAACTAAATGTTTGACATGGGGTTATTTGGCATGGGGAGGAGGTAAATCAAAGAGATCCCTGTGGTCTCATGGATGTTGTCGGGGGATTCTTGCCATGCACTCATGTCACAGATAGCAAAAGTTAAGTTCTGGTTGCTATGGTTGATCAGAAACAATGCCATTGAATCCAACGAAGGTTAAAGTCAAGGGCAATTGGACTTGGTTGAAGATACTGGAATAAGGGCATCACAGACCTGTTATTGCTCAATCTCGTGTGGCTGAACGCCACTTGTCCCTCTAAGAATGCCGTTGAATGAACACTGCATAAGAGTCATGTTTTCAACATTGAAATACTAACTTTTGATCTATTGTCATCATTGTTTCAATGTGCCTACTAATGTACCAACTTTCACTTTGCGACTTGTGTCTGTGAAAAAGCACTCTAGCCCTAAAGTTTGTTTGCTGACTTACTTTTCAGGACTGGGGAACAGCCATTTTAGGGGTGTATGGGACACATTTATTTTTAAATATTGCACTTCCTCAATTTGATACATGTCACTTGTCTGGTTTAGATGACAAAGAAAACCAGATAATTTATATGTAATGAGGAAAACATCTGAAGGGCGTTTTTTCAGGGCGAGAAGTCCCACAAAAAGGTGCTATATTCAACTGCTCCTACTGCACAACGTTCTCTTCATCTCCCACCAACCTGTGGAGAAAAAGGCAAGTATCAATCTTTAGTCTTGTAGCTATGGAAAATGCGAGGTAAACCTATATCTGGATTATTGTCTTGGTCTATTGTTGTAATACTTGTAATATTTGACAGCGATCTGGTGGGAAGCAAGCGGCAATATAGGCTAGTTTGCTCAGTAAAAATTAAATGCATGTAAGCAGACCTGAATTTTTAGGTAGGCTTTTTTTTGTAGCATCTGAACAAGTGCATTACATTATCTTACTGGCTTTATAGTTAGTCAATGAACTATTGTAATGTGGTTGTATTTGCTGCAAAGGAAAATATTCCAGCTAGCATAAGGCTAGCTATTAGCATATCTGATGTTAAATAGGTGTCTCATTTTCACTCTCGTGCTTCAGCTTAACTTACAATCAAGTACTGTATGTAACCTCTTTTATGCTGAGTAACACGTAGGTTACCACACGTAAACTCAAACTTAACTTACTGCAGTTAGCTGTACTGTTAAATGTCACCATTGCACACTTGTACACTGTTACACTGTAAGACTAACCTAATGCCTGCAAATGGATGATGGTCTATCAAAAGAAGATATCTGATATCTTATCTGGGTTTGATGTTAAGTCCTTTAGAGATAGAAAATTCTTTAAAAAACCCTGCAAAGTCATCTTTTAAGTTAAAGGGAAACTTTCTGTGGGCTCCTTTTCAGGATTCATGTTGACAGCATCTACAATCAAGGCTGTGTGCTAACAAGTCCTTTGAAAATGATGGGAGCTTAATGATGGTAAGTCAAACAAACTTTAGATAAACATACATTTTTCACAGTATTGTATTGCGGAGAGCTGCTCAAAACATCTCTGGCTGCCTGCAATGCAAAGTCCTTTTATTTTGTATAATTACAATTATGTGTGTTCATAGGGATGCTGGAATCCACCTCAGGCCAGTACCACTCCCTATTGTCCCCCACAACCTGTGAGTAATGGCACGTCATGGGCATGATTAAGCCCCATACTCAGTCACCTTTTTTACCCGCTGGCTGCACTCAGAAGGTGCACTCGTCTGCCAGAGTAACTGTGGTAATTTTTGAGGCCGTGGTTGTTGAATTGGAATGTATTCCCAGTACAACAATGATGTTAATTTCTGTCCATCCCCTTAATTACTCCAACTAGCCACTCTCTAATCTGTCAAGGTCGCCACCACCACAAACGGAGCACTGTCAGCTTCAGGTGGGAATCCAAGGCTTGTTTTGTTTAATCTGGTCTCAGACATGTTAGCAAGATAAGCATAATTCATGTTATTTGAACTTTTAGTGATAAATGCAGACACCCGAATAGTGACTGTGTTCAATAATGTGAATGATGACCTGTGTTAACAATCAATTTCAATCGATGATTTTATGATTTCTTAGTACTGTCTAAACTGTCTGGTCTTTTAAGGTAAAAAAAGAAGCCCTTTGCAAACGAAGAATGTCTATAAAAGATCTCCTCAGTCATAAATAGGTTGAGAAAGTCTGAATATCAATCCCCTTGAGTTATCTGGGTTTACTAATATTATGTTAAGATTTGTAAAGTCTTGTGCACATTTTATTAATCTGTCTTTTTCATTTTAGTGTGAATTCACATGAGATGATTGCTTTAACATTGTTTGTTCTAAATGTATTTAATTGTCTGTGATATTAAATTTCTACTTGATTTGTAAGTATAGTTTCATAAATATTCTAAGGCACACTTAATCATTTTGTTCATCGAAATTGTGTGAATTTAGATTGATCCTTTTGTCGTTTTGGAAGTGTTTATGAGTTAGCAAATAGTTTTCTTGAGCTCCATTTACATGTGGAGAACAATATCATGTATAAATGTTGTATACATAAAGGAAATGTCATGAAAAGGTCTGGTTTCTTCTCTCTGTCTCATTATGTCAAAATCGATAGTGTCTGTCTTAATTTGAAAATATCCCTTTTAATTTAACATTAAACATAACGAGTTTCGCTGTAGATTAAGTATTTCACGTGAACCTCTGGGAGTCATCACCCATGTTTACTGAAAGCCCAATCAAATGTGAAAAGTGCTTTGTTTCTTGCACTCAGGAAACCCTTAACACAAAAATGATACAGTAGGCTGGCCTCTCCCTTCCAGCTCCTCCACCATGTGAAAGGGCTGTTTAAACTGGCATCACTGACAAAGTGTCAGCCAAGAAAGCAGAGAAGGGGGGGGGGGGCTGGGGGGAGAAGTTGTTTCTGCTGCGTTTTTGTTTCCCTCGAGCAGCGTTTGCCATTGCATCAAACCAGATCTGGTTGCTAGGAGCGTGACTGTGTATGTAGATTGCCTGCGGTATGTACAGTGAGGAGGAAAAGGCTGTGTCATGTTAAGTACTTTTAATCCCACATTTGAGTCTCAGATTCACCATGGGTCCTGATCTGAGTCTGTGTGAGTCCGGCTATAAGGCGTGTGATGAGGTGTAGTACAGTGATTGAGAGTAACCTTTGGTGCAACCAAAGTAACTTGTGTGCAATGTGTGGTCTGCTGGACGCGAGAGGAAAGGCCTGTACACAGTACCGCTCATGTTGATGCTGGCTCTCTCTGGAACTCCTACCTCATTCTTCTGAGTATTATTCTGTATCTAATAAGATTCTGTTAAAACATTAACCATCAAGCAAGAATGCAACACAAAGAAATGAATCAAACTATTTAAAAAAGATTACAGTAATGATAAAAAGGGTTGCATTTTCAAGAAAAGGGTGGATTTAAAAAGGTGATAACTTAGAGGAAACAAAGTTAAACCAAGCAGTCTGATCATTATGTGCATCCAGATTCCTGGTCCAGAGGAAGAATTAAAAAGCGAGTTTTAAAGGACCAAAGCGATGTAAAAGGTAATGGGTCACTGACTAAAAGACCGAAAACAGACATCCTATGATGGAACTTGGAAATAGGTTAAACAGGCTCTTTCTCTGAAATTGATTAGGGCCTGTTCTGCCAGTGGCATTTAGCAGATTCATTCATGATGAAAATAATAGTTAGTTGCAACGCTAATCAGAACAGAGTTGCCCCTACAGCTGCGATTAAAGCATGAATGAGTCTCTCAGTATTTCCTCAAGAGGAATAATTGTAATGTGACAATACTCTACAATACTCTATGATGTTAGAAGGCAGGTTTAGTGATATTTTAGTGATATTTCCAACATCAAGATTCAAGACACTATCAAGAAGCACAACATTTTCTCTCAGGTCCATGGCCTGTACTGAAGAACCAACCAGTACTTGAACACCGGTGTTCAGGTGTTCTGTGTGTCAATTAGTTTGTGCTTATTTGATTAAATACAACTTCATTAAGGAATATGTGCCATGTGAGCACGTTTTGAACTTAAATTAGATGGACTCATTTTAAGCAGTTACTTGATTTCATGCAATAATTACTACCTGTGTTTTGTTATTGTTGTTTTTTGAGGACATGTCTAATTTTGTATTTGTATTTCTTAACTGCAAGTCTACTTTTTCTAAAAACAAAATCACAATTCTTTAGTTTATGTACATTTTTTACAAAGGTTACAATACATCAATTGTAAAGTAAACAATACAGTGAGCACAATGAGCAGTAGGATTGAATGTCAGGGTCACTGTCATCCCAGTCCCACCTGCTCAGGAATGCAGATTCCCATACTGTTACTTTACATCTTCTACAGAATGAAGGAAGTGGCTTCCATGAAAGGGAGAAAAGATATGTGGCAATCATAACATTAAATATTTGACAAGTAGAAAATGTACTCGTTAGTATGAGCGTGTGATTGTGTAAACACAAGAATCACAAAGCTGTTTCCCATAGCCTGCAGGCAGTGTTGTGCTCTGTGAGCCACTCCCAAGAGCCTGGGAGGAGGCCATGGAAGGAGGGGCCTGCCAGTCTCCCCAGTCTCAAGCCCACACAGGTGAACTCCTGTTGGGGTGGAATGCAAGCAGGGAGGGGGGCCTTGACACACAGAGGTGTGGAGCTTTTCATTTCTAACAGGGTGGGGAAGAGATAGAGGTACAGGAAGGGAGTTAACCCTCTCCGTCACAGCTACTCACCTGCAGAGGGAAGGGAGAGTGTGTGTGGGTGTGTGCGCAGAAGCTAAAGGAGGGACCAAGTTACAGCACACACAGTCATGTTCACTCAGTTGCTCTGAGTCTCACTGTCTCTTGTTTCTCTCTCCAGAACACACTTTAAAAGCTCTTGCACATTCGCGGAGACACACACGTGACTTAGCTGAGTTTTGAGGCAAATAAATCAATTTTCAACCAGACCGGACAGTAAAGGAAGAAAGAAACAAAAGAAAAATTGGAAGTCTGCACATCTCTTCCTTTTGGAACTTTGGACTTGGACAGGAGGAGTTGAAGAAGTTTTTTTTTCCTTTTACAGGTGGAAACAAACTTAAATCCCAAGCTCTTGGGTCAAACAAACAAAAAGGAACTGTTTTTCTTATTTATTGTTGGACTTTTGGACTTGGACTGGGCGAAAGGGCAGTAAGAGGTTTGTTTGATTAGTAATCTCTTTGTATCCAGTCATAAATTTCCCAATGACTCTATTGTTTTCAATGCCCTTCACCTTAAACGAGTCCTACTCCCCCTCGCAAAATGTATTCTGCTGATTTACATGACTTTTGAGCAAGGTGAATGGCTGTAAAATGTGCGTTATGTAACTTTATATCTCACCATGTGGTTTTAGAATTGCATGCAAGACTGAAGACTGAGCTCTGGGCAGATTTGGATTTAGCTTAGTGGTTATTTTCTCTTGAATCTTTCCCCTTTTTGTGTTTTCTGCATGACTGCCCACATCAAAGCAGACTACAATGCAACACAGGTGAAAGAAATTGGATCAGAGCAAATGGTAAAGAAAAAATATTCCCAGTGTTTATATAAGCTAGTTTGCTGCCGTCTACTGATTCAGACATTCAGACCTGCTTTATTAGTTTGCTTTGTGTTATTTGGGGTTTTTAGGGTGGAATGCAATGATAACTTCAAAGGTTTGGGTTTTCCAGGTGTGTTTGGTTGTAATTTAGCTTGCTTTCAAGGGCAGGTCCCCGAGCATGACCCCTAAACCTGCTACAAAAGACCCCCACCTCTTACTGATGTCATGACGGGGGTCAGACCCACACCCAGCGGTGGTATGTTCTGCCGGCAGGCATATTGGTGTCTGAAGAGACAACAACTGCGGAAAAATGTCCCCTCTTTTTTGTGCCACAGAGTCATTCAGACCAAAGAAAAGGCAGCATGAATGACTCACTTCTATTTTCTCTCTCTTGGAAGCTGTAATTTGTGTCATAAACGCCTGCGTGTCTTTGATTTTGTCTGAGAAGGAGGGAAAGAACATTTCTTTACTCTAAAACCGTCAAGTTTTAGAGGATAGGAGCTGAGTCCCCCCCCGCTCGCCGACTCATCTCAGTTAGTGATTTATGTGACACCTTATGGCATGAACACACACACACATGCGCACACACCTGTAGTCTGCTCAAGTTCACAGCGAGGTGCTAAAGCACCCTTCCCATGTGTTTTCAGCCTGTGTTTTTAACTTGGACAGGTCATCCTCTCGCCTCAAGGAGAAATTCCTCCTTGGAGTCGTAAATCTAGAGCACAAATCATCTTTTTTTTGTGTGTGTGCACTGGGGTGGTACGTACAGTATTCAGTTGTCTGCCCACTGAGACAATTACTGAGACATTTCATGCCACATTGCGCCCTTTGTTCTCTCTCCACCGCCTGTCTTTAGTGGAGATTGTTTTTGCGTCTTCATGTTTATCAGATTGTTCTCCATCCAGGATTCCAGCATAAAATTATATAGTGGTTTTAATCTGAAGAGTCTTCACAGCATGCTGCCCCAAATATTTTCAGGTCCCACCCTGTGTTGGTCCCTTCCTGTGGTCACATTTTATCATGCCTTAAGTGACTTTTTGTAGTATGTCTATATACTTTATATCTTTATGAGAATAGCAGATAGTAAACCAATGTAAAGGTGCGTGTTCATATTATAATTTGAGAATAGGATAAAGAAAATGTAAAAAAAAAAAAATTATAAAGATTGTTTCACCGAAATTACAAAATATTATTAAATTACATATTACTATTTCTATATATAATTTCTTTTGAGATTTCTGCGTCCACCCCATTATAATGGAGGTAAATGGAATTGTCATCAGTTTTCAAAGAGACTATTTCTTCTGTAGAAAGTAGTTTGTTTCGAAATGAAAACCCTGTTGTCATTGGACAACTCCATTTCCTTTTATCGCCATTGTACTGGGGTGTAGGAACACATCTCAGAGATAGAAATCTCAAAACCTGAGCAATCTGTGTGGTGAGACACCACTAGAGGTGAGTGATAAAATATACAGTATATATAATTTGGGTGATCACATCCTTTAAATGTATGCACTGATGCCTATAATCAGGTATAAAAAATAACGTTTATGTTCCTTTAAGAATATAATTTAGTTGTTTTTTGAAGAGGAAATAGCCTGCTGTTGAGTGTCTGTCTGTTTTGCTGATCTGCTCTCAGTTAGCAGCTTGTTTCACAAGCTGAAGTAAGATAAGGTAAGGGGAGTGTCTGGGCCTGTTCACTTTCTCTAGGGCCTGACCGAGGGAAAGTACAGGTGGTTCAAGTTACTCTTTAGTCTGAAGAGATATCACCAAGGGATTCAAGTTTTTCTCTCTTTCTTTTTTTCTCTCTCGTTCTGTAACAGTGGGCTTTAGCTGTACTGTACATGTGCATAAATGAATGTCTTTTTCTGTATGTTCCTGTGGCAGGAAGGAGATGGGGAGATGGACGTTACATCTCTCAGTGGGGCTTGGGCTTCTAGCCCTCCTGTTGAGCTGCTGTTATGCTGAAGGTGAGTCACAGTCATAACTAATGATTTTATTTTCACATTTCACATTTATTGACATGTTATTTTGTGTGCAAGTAGTTGACAAAACAGGATAGTTGGCTTTCAATGTCCATATTTGTAGTTTTAGAGACTTCTCTTAAAGTTTAAGAGGGTATTTTGACATTTTAGCTAAATACTAAGTGGGTCACTGTAATCATGGAACAGAGGTGTAGCAAATCATGAACTTGATTAGTGATTGTCAGTAAATGAATCGACAATTGTTGAAGTTATTTACAAGCAAATGTAGAACAGTTGCTGGTTCAAGCCATTTGCCAGATGTGCAAATGGTATATAGTAACATATTACTGCTGACAATAATGGATACAGTTTATGATATTTTTTGTATTTTTGAAAATTTATCTCCCAAAGAGCCAGGCTTTCTTTAAATATTTTTATGCTATATCTACTTTTTGTTTATTACTGTATCACTGTAGGGAAGCTTCTGTTTTCCGCGTTGGTTTCATTTGGAGCAACATCAGGAGAAAATAAGTCTGTTTAGGTATTCTAGCTATGTTTCATTGATTTGATTCTCACTTTGTTGCCTCTCTCTCTCCTCCACACCTACAGAGAACTACTGCTTTGCTTCCAGGGCCAAGACCTGCTCAGAATGCCTGCAGTCTGGGAAAGGCTGTGCCTACTGCCCTGATGAGGTGAGACTGGAAAACTGCAGCAGTACAAAAGTACTGGATTAGGTGTCATTGCTGTCAGTCTAGAAAGCAGAGCTCACTAATCAAACTTCCTGTTCATTCAGACCTTTAACGGCCCTCGCTGTGACCTGCACGAGAACATACTTGCCCATGGCTGCAGTACTGCGGCTGTAATCACAGCTGAAAGCAGTATGACGATGGAAAGAGTAAGTCTTTATCGCTCTCATTTCACTTCCAATCATTCCACAGTTCTTTAGTCTTGAAGGTATGTTGTCGTTTCAAATCAAAACATATGAAATCTTATCTCCCTCTCTTATTTCCCCTCTCGGTGCTCAGAAGGAAAAAATCAACGCAAGAATTCAGCAGTCTCAAGTGTCTCCACAGCAGATGAGCATGACCTTTCTGCCAGGGGAGGAGAAGATGGTGGATGTGGAGGTGTTTGCTCCAACCAAAGGCCCTCTGGACCTTTATATTCTTATGGACTTCTCCAATTCTATGGCTGACGATTTGGACAACTTGAAGAGGATGGGCAAAGAGCTGGGTGAGCATCTTTGTATTGGCATGTGGTGAATGTCAAGGAAGTTGCCATGGTTATACTGATGGTTAATGTATTTCCTGTAGCTCAAGTGGTAGAGAAGCTGTCAGAAGACTACACCATTGGGTTTGGAAAGTTTGTGGACAAAGTGATCGAGCCCCAGACTGACATGAGACCCTCCAAGTAAGAGCGACAATGTGACATGAACACATTAAAGAAAATAAAGCAAATTGATATAGTAGTGTAATCTGAATGCCGTTCCCTCTTTCTCTCTCTTCTCTTGTGTCCATCCTTGTTCCACCTTCTCAGACTTAAGCAGCCGTGGCCCAACAGCGACCCTCCATTCTCTTTCCAAAACGTCATCAAGCTGACCAGTAATTTGGATTTCTTCACCAGTGAGCTCCAGAAGGAGAGAATTTCAGGCAACCTGGACGCTCCTGAAGGAGGTTTTGATGCCATATTGCAGGCTGCAGTTTGTGGGGTTAGTAGGAATACTAAAACAGATGTTGCTCTGCCTAAATTTGGGGGGCGAAAATAGGTTTGTGACCAGGCGCTGTATATTGCTGTGTAGTCAGTTCACTCTTCTCTACTTGTGCTACTGTTACACTATATTTTAGCATGTCACAGATAAACATTTCAGTGATTTGATCAGAAGTAAGAAGAAGCAGAAGAAGTTAGTTACCTACTGATGATGTCTTTGATGAACACAGTGGAGTATTTAGCAGCTTAAAGACCACATTTTTCCCTCATTGCTGGTACTCTTATTCTAGGATAAGATCGGCTGGCGCAACCACAGCACACATCTCCTGGTTTTCTCCACCGAGTCAGCCTTCCACTACGAGGCTGATGGTGCCAACGTGCTGTCAGGCATCCTGCCGCGCAATGACGAGCAATGCCACCTTGACGCAGCGGGCAAGTACACAATGGATATACACCAGGATTACCCCTCAATACCCACACTGATCCGTCTGCTGGGCAAACACAACATCATCCCTATCCTTGCTGTCACCAACCACTCCTACACATACTACAAGGTTGGTTGTTTTGTTTATTTTATTAATTCAGATCTCATTGAAGTTATGCTCCTGAGACGTGGTGTCAAGTTTTAGGTCAGAGTTTAGGTCATGGATTTATTTTTTGTATTGTGTGTGTTCCTCTGTGTAGAAGCTCCAAGAGTATTTCCCCATTGCTGAGGTCGGTCTGTTGCAAGAAGACTCGTCCAACATCCTGCAACTCATGGAGGCTGCTTTCGAGGTAAAACGTCACCTCTTCTGACCATTGTCAGGTTGAAGAGTATCTTTTTTGTGTGGGTTTTTGCAGTTGCTGGCAGCGCAAACTTCTCTTTGCTGATGTTCTTATATGTCCTTTCAGAGTATCCGTTCTAAGATGAGCATCCGTGCAGAGGAGAAACCCAAGGCGTTTGAGGCACAGTTCATGCACATGGATGGAAGCGTTGCACAATACGGGGCTTTTGATTTCAAGCCAGGCTCAATAGTAAGAAGAAAAACCAGATGGAAAAAACTTATTAAACACACAAACATATATTGGTGGATTTAGAAGATCAAATATTGCTTCTTCTTTTTTTTTTATATTCCTTACTTATACTGATATATTGTGTTTACAACAAATAAATTAATTCTTAACATTTTCTTTTTTCTTGGACTATGGGTTTTTCAGAATTACAATTACAAATACTCTTCACTCCCTCACAGTTCACAATTATGCGTTCAAAGGGGGAAAGCCAATAGATAAATATGCAAATAAATTAAAAACGTATCTAACAATACAGCACGGTTTCCACTTCCCCCTTTCCTTATTCACCCACGAGCCATCTCTGTTGTCACATTAAATCCATTGTAAAGAATTTCCTCTTGCAGTACTGTGACACATATTTAAGGCAAACTTTTATCAATTACATGGAAAAATGTATATTATATGTTATATAATATTCTGATTTATTAATAAAAAAATACCCGTCACCTAACCGGTCAAAAACCTTTCTAAAATAGGCTTGGATTTGGAGAGATCTGTAGAACTCTTTACTGCCACCAGATAACTGATCAGTTTACACAAATTGTTGGCCAATTAAACCAGTTACTAACTAAAATCAGTTTTATGGTTCTACAGGCTATTTAGTTGTAGTCAATAAGTCCACTATTGTCCTAACTTGTTGGTCTAACCGTGCTAAGGCTCACACAGCTAAGTGCGGAGTGTGCACACACATGCTCTGACATTGTGTGTGTTTGTTTGTGTGTGTGTGTCCTCCAGGGCAAGTTCAAGACGCGGCTCAAAGCCCAGCGAATGATCAATGACGTGCCTGTCTGTCAGGTGGATCCGAACGAAAAAGAGGGGATGACGAGAATCAAACCTACGACCTTTAACGCTGCCGTCAACATTAAGGCTTCAGTTTTGTGTCCAACCTGCGAATGTGAGAAGGTAGACACACAGATTAACACCGAAGCGCACAAAAAGTTGAGATGAAGTCACATACTTACGCTTCTATATGGTAGATTCATCCCAGTGTCTCTTTTATCCGCCCCCCAGACGCCCATCATTAAAGCAGACAGATGCAACGGCAACGGAGACCTGGTGTGTGGGAAGTGTCAGTGCTATGATGGCTGGTGAGACTTTAACTATTTCTTAAGAATAAGAAAAACATATTTTTACCTTTGTTATGGCATCTCAGCCAAGTGATGTACTGTGTCAGGCCTCTGGGTTCAATAAAATCTTTGTTTTTTTCATGTGCCTCCTTCAGGCTGAGCACATTCTGTAACTGCTCAGCGAGTGCTTCAGCTCAGGACACCAACCAATGTAAAGGTCCGGACATGAAGGAAGCTTGTTCAGGCCGCGGAGACTGCCTGGCGTGTGGAACCTGTGTGTGCTACAACCCGGATCAGTTTGAAGGACCCTACTGTCAGTACGACAAGACCCAGTGTCAAAGATATGGAGGCTTCCTCTGCAACGGTACGACAGTTTGTGGATGCTGAAATGGTGATCATGGGTGTATGTGTGTGTATGATGTCACTATCGCCACTCAGCATTCTGTGTATATTCTGTATTGCACAGTATTGCTCTGTGTCTGCTGGATGTTTAAATAGGTTACTGTTTGCCAATGACTTGTTAGCGTGCTGTTCACATTTAAAGATGATAATATGTCAATGTTGTGTATACAGCTTGTTTCCGCTTCCCGCAAGTGGCAAAATACAACCAAAAAGAAACTCAGTTATTGCAGGTTTTAAATAGATTTTCCTGCTGTCGAAAAAACTGGCAGTTTTTCCGACAATAGAAGATGCTATTGAGCTGAAGAAGAAACTTCAGCTAGTTTCACATTATTCATTTTAAAATACCAATTTATCAATTAGTGTGAAGTTAAAGTACTGTTATAAATAAAGTTCATGCTGCCTTTGTGTTATTTTTCTTTTCTGTATACTATTAGTAATTTCTGCTTCGACAGCCTTACCAACATAAAACAGTTCCACCTTCTTCTTCCTTGTCTCAACAGACCGTGGCTCTTGCGTTATGGGTCGGTGTGCGTGTACACAGGGCTGGGAGGGCAATGCCTGCGAGTGTCCCAAGAGCAACCTGACCTGTCTGGACAGCAAGGGCGTGAGTAGAGCCAACAATTTTAGTTTGTAGATTAAGTTCTCATGTCAACTTACCTGTCACCCTGTGCCTGACTGTGTCTTTGTCTGTGCCAGGGTGTCTGCAATGGCCGAGGTAAATGTGTATGCGGCCGCTGTGAGTGTCTGAACTCTGGTATGGAGATGACTTCAACATGTGAGCCAAATTTCCAGGTGCGTGGATATAATGTATACATGTGTGTTTATGCCTCTATGTATGTACATACTACGCTCAGTGTCTCATATTATACCTGATAATGCTACTATATGCTTTTCGCTTTTTTCGCCTCAGTGTCTTTGTATGCTCCTGCCTGACCTCTGTGTGTGTGTGTCCTCTCTAGGCTCAGTTGGGAGTGTGTGAGGGTACGAGGAGTTGTGTCCAGTGTCAGGCCTGGAAAACAGGAGAGAAGAAAGACAAAGAGGAGTGTGATAAGTGCCCCTTCAAAATTGTCATGGAGGAGAACCTCAAAGAATGTAAGGACATATAAGAGGAGCAAAATGACTGTGATTTTCTTTTTGTTGAATAATATATCATGCAGATACGCTGTGCACAGACATCTTTCCTTCCTTTGTGTCATAATGATGACAATTTGACACTCTAGTAGTGATGATGAAAGCACAATAGTTCATGTATGTGCGTGGATGTGTGTTTTTTCAGCGGAGAAGGTGCTTGATTCGTGCAGTTTCCGTGATGAGGATGACGACTGTACGTACTACTACACTGTTGAAAACCCTAAAGAACTGACAGATAAAGACTTGGAGGTTCGGGTGCGCAAAAAGAAAGGTGAGCTGCAGCTTGGGTATGTATCACATATGCTCTGTGCTCTCATTTCAGTAACAACAATACTTTCCTTTTGTAATTTTGTACTTTCAGCGATGTTTTTTCTGAATTATCGACGATACACAATTTTTGGTTATTTCAAATAAGAGATTTTGTAACTTTGATTGTGGCTTATTGAGGAATGATATAGAGAAATATTTAACATGTTAAACCAACTCTTTAAGAAAATGCAGTTCAAAGTGCAGTACAGTATAAGAAAGCTATCTTGAACATATCTCTGCAGTACACAAAATTATATTGTCAAAACAAGATCTTAGAGGGTAGGTTCACCGAAATTGCACAAAAAAGCAACTTTCTCAAAACTATATGCATGGCTAGACACCACTGGAATTAAACAATGGCGAGAATTTCTCTCTGTCCTAACTGGACAATGACTTTAGAACAGGTGGGATGTGAGCTCTTTTCTTTGCTCCAGTTAAAGCTCTGGCAGCAGCATTCTGTGTGATTTGTTGTGTTTCTAATTTTATCTACTTTTCATGACGGACCTTCAGATTGCCCCCCCGCTGGCCTCCTGTGGTTACTCCCACTCCTCTTGTTCCTCTTGTTACTGCTGGCGCTTCTGCTGCTCTGCTGCTGGAAATTCTGTGCCTGCTGCAAAACCTGCTTACAGGTATCAACATTCACATTTACACCCAGAAATAATCACTATTTCTACGCCTCAGTGAAAGTAATGGCTTCTGTCTTTTCTTAACTCAGAGCTGCCTTGCCCTGCTGCCTTGCTGTAGGAAGGTAAGACATTTGTAACATTACACGTGACAGTACTGCTTTAAATCCTTTATCCACCCACCTGGAACCATGTGACCTTGAGTCACCTTATGTTGTGTTCTCTCCAGGTCGCATGGTTGGCTTCAAGGAAGATGAGTATTTGCTCCGCCAGTCTCTGCTCACCACGGACCACCTAGACACACCGATGGTGAGGACTGGCCCACCCAAAGGAACCGATATTGTCCGCTGGAAGGTCACAGATAATGTACACCGAGGACCCAATCACCCCCAGGCTATGATAAAACCCAACCCTAAAGAGACCAGTGAGTGATCAAATCTTTCAGCAATAATAAATTGAGTTGCGTTAGGCTAAACATGTTGAGAACTCTAACCTCTATTTGCTTTCTTTTCATGGTTCCTCTTTCCCTTTGTAGTCCAGTTCCCCATCTCGCTCCGGCTAAACAAGTTGTTCTCTGAGACCCTGTCTCGCCCCGACTCCAAAGACGCCGAACAGCTCCGCAAGGAAGTGGCCGATAACGTGAGTGTGTTTTTGTTTGTTGTCGGAGAGTGCGTGAATGATGACTGTGTCACTGAGTACTGTATTTTCTTCCATCCAGCTAAATGAGGTGTACAAGCAGATTCCCGGGGCCCAGAAGGTGCAAAAAACCTCATTCAGGTAAAATGGGACGAAGACGTTTTTCTTCATATTCTCATTATCAAAAGAAAAAAGAATGAAATAAAAAGTCTGGTCTCTCACTCATTAATACCTGTTTTGGTTCTTGCAGAATGCAGAGAAATGCTGGAAAAAGGTAACATCCTGTTTGGTACAGTAGAATACAAGACAATACGTTTTGAAGGTCACACATGTCTCACATCTCTGCACCCCCCTGTGCTCTTCAGGCAGGACTTCACCATCATGGACACCGTCTTGTCTGCTCCTCGCGGAAGCTACCCTGATATTGTCAGACTGACTGAGAAAAATGTCCAGTCTGGAAACATCAATGACCTCAAAGTAGTGCCCGGCTACTACACTGTGGCCACAGACAGAGGTGTGTGTTTGCGCGTGCGGTTGAAAATAAAATTCTAATCACTTTCGGATCTCTGCCTTGTGGCTTTTACCTTCATCAGTCTTGCTGTAAATCTTGTCGTCTCATCTGCTCTTCCTCTGCAGAGGCTGTGGGAGCAATAGAGTTCCAAGAAGGCGTGGAGTCGGTAGACGTTCATGTGCCACTTTTTGTCAAGGATGAAGATGATGACAAGAAGTCGCTGCAGGTGGAGGCCACGGATGTGCCACTAGGCATTGCTGAGATTGGGAAACGTTTGGTCAACATCACCATCATCAAAGAGCATGGTGAGAAATCTCAGATTTAATAGATTAGCACTTTTTGTACGCAGACCTTTTCAATCAAAGAAAATGAGATGATTAACTCATCAGAGCTCCTGTGACATGTGGGGAAGTGTATGATCTTCACAATGGATTTCTCCAATGGATTCTCCCCCTTCCTCTTCCCCAGCCACCAGTGTCTTCTCGTTCCTCCAGCCGGCCTACACCTACAGCAGGCAGGACGGGGTGGCCAACATCCCAATCAGCAGAGAGATCATAGAAGATGGACGCACACAGGTCACCTATCGTACACGGGACCTCACGGCCAAGGATAAGAAGGTGAGCTGATGGCAGTGTACTGATGCACTGCCCTAAATTGAGCTTGCTATTCTTACACGTACAAAAACGTTTGGGGTTGTTACATATACTTGATGTGGATTATCTTATCACTTGTACTACAGTTGAGGGGCTGTATTCCTAACCTGTTCTTCCCATGTAATTTAGGACTATGTGACAGTGGAAGGAGACCTGAACTATGGTCCTGGTGAGACCCAGAAAATGGTGCCTGTTCATCTGCTGGAGCTGGGTGAGAAAGATGGCCTCCTGGAAGACAAACCGGTCAAGCAGTTTGTCATGGATCTCAGTAACCCACGGCAGGGCGCCAAGCTGGGACGCTACCCGAGAACTACTGTCACCATAGCAGACCAACCAGGTGAAAGGACGCAGGAGTCTTAACATCATTGTGTCTTACCCTTGCTCCCAAAGCTCCGATTGCTAATGTTTCTTCTCTTCCTTCCCATTATCTTCTTTTATCTAGAGCCCAGTGTGGTAATGTTCAAAAGGGGCGCCCAGAACTTCACCACATCTGACCTAAGCTATAACATCCCTGTGGTCCGCACTCGCAACCTGGACAGCCCCGTCACAGTGAAATGGCGCACCAAAGAGGCCCTGCGCTATAAGCAGTCCGGCCTGCTGATGTTTGGTCCTGGAGAGACGGAGAACAACATAGTGATCGAGCGCCCAGTGGAGCCAGAGACCTTCCAACTGGAGCTGTCTGACCCAAGTAGCAACGCAATGATCGGAGAGAGGAAGACAACCATTGTCAATGTCATTGATCATAACGTTGGTAAGACACAATGGGGTTTCATTTGCTGCAAAACATACAACTAAAGATAACACTTGTAGAGTTATGGGAGAAGGGATCATTCTAAAAGGTACTGTGTCTGGAAAATGTTACATTCTCTAACTTCCTCCTCTTCCTGCTGTTCCCAAAAGAGAGAGACATTGATCAGAAGCAGCAACTTGGTTACATAAACCAGAAAGCGCTCTCCCCTGGTATTCACCTCCCCGCCCCAGGAAACCCTAAGGCCCGAGCAACTGGCCCCAGAAGCATCCGCCTCAACTGGGACCCACCGCCTGGTAACCCCATGGGGTACAAGGTACATCAAATCTACATGTTGAGAAGCTTTAACTTGACTTAGTACCCATTACTTACAATAGGCACTGTATTTCTCAAATGCTGTATCTTTTATTTCCCTGTGGGTTGTAGGTGAAGTATTGGATCTATGGTGATCCAGAAAAAGATGCCCAGGTCTTAGATGTGAAGACTCCTCAAGCTGAGCTGACCAACCTGTACCCCTATTGTGACTATGAGATGCGAGTGTGCGGCTACAATGCAGTGGGAGATGGCTACGATACAGACATGGTTGCCTGTCAGACACTGGAGGATGGTAATTACTGAGATTTCAGTTAACTGCTGTTCATGAAAGGTTCTGCAGGAGATATAAGCATATATAGTGATCATGAAAAACAAAATTATGATGAATTAATTTCTTGTAGACAGAATTTGTGTTTTTTTGTGTGTAACTTAAGCTTCTGTATTAGGGTGCACTAGCTATTCTTAAATCCATCACTAAGTTTTTAGGTAAAGTTCTTTCTAAAGTTTCAACAACATGAGTCACAGTAGTATCATAAGCAGTAGCATAACTTTCAGAAATAACACTTTTAGGGGAGCAAACATTATATTAAAGTGGACTGTCAATCTTCGTAAATGTAGGTATGACTTTGTTTTATTTCTATAAGCAAACATTGAGAGATGTGCTTCAGAATCATTTGTATTATTACAATTCAAAATGATTGGGAAATATCCAGTTATGCCAACATAGTTGACGTTATTCTGTTGTTTAGCCAAAAGTTATTAGTATATTTTGTATTCTGAGATATGTTGCTTTATTTTTGTGAAATATAATTTGAAAACCTCCCAGTTTCCCTCATTATTAAACAGCATTTTATGAAATGTCAGATAAAATGTGTCAACCATATTTCATATTACCTCAGTTACTCCTCCCTCTAAACAGGTAGGTCACATATTAGCAAGCTAACTTTTCATCAGTTAACTCAATCAGGCTAGTAACAGCCACACCTGGCAGTTGTTCTGTATATTTAGTAACAACTAATCTCTACATGTCTGTGCGAACAACCTGTTTGAGTTTAGTGATGAAAAAATCTTAGAAGCAGTAAACACTTACATCACAACCATTTCAATGTAGAATTGGTTCCTATTCTGTTTTTCTCCAGTGCCTGGTGAACCTGGACGCTTGGCCTTTAACGTCATCAGTCCAACTGTCACTCAGGTCAGCTGGGCGGAGCCTGCAGAGACCAATGGCAACATTGTGGCTTATGAGGTTGTCTACACACCCATCGATGATCTAACAAGTAAGAGAGTCCCAGCTAAAAAAATTAAATATTGTACCTGGTGCTGTGCCGAATGTCATTTTTATTTTTAGTTATTTTTTACATATGAAGCTTCTGTTGTGCTTTTCGAATAAAGCCTTGAATATCTGATGTCATATTCTATGAAGTCATTCCCCTATAAATGTTCTTAAAATCCTCAAAAAAACATTGGATCACAGGAGTGGGAAACAATCCAGCCACCACTGGAATCTAATTCTACAAATGCTATAATGCTAATAATATATAACTGTAACTTTATCTTTATCTGTCATTGTGCAGAAATATATATACAAATGTTTGCATTATGTCATTTTCATCATTTCACAATACTCCCCTCACAGAGCCACAGGCCCCGCTAAGAAGGTAAAGATTGACAACCCCAAGAAGCGAATGCTGTTGATTGAGAACCTCCAGACCGCTCAGACCTACTTGTACCAGGTCCGGGCCAAGAACAGCGTGGGCTGGGGCCCCTTCCGAGATGCCACCATCAACCTGGCATCACAGCCTGCCAGACCTTTGTCCAGTAAGTCAGCGGTAAACACACCTCTAGAACACTTCCAGTCAATCTGTATATCCCTGAAAAGAGATTTATTTCACTCTCTTTCTTTCCCTAGTTCCCATCATTCCAGATATCCCTATTGTGGATGCAGAGGCAGGAGACGAGTATGACAGCTACCTGATGTACAGCAATGAGGTGATGAAGTCCCCAACAGGCTCCAAGACACCCAGCGTCTCTGGTGATGGTGGGTACCCAGAACCGAAACCACAAGCCACTTACTACTGCTGACAGCATAAACCCATTGTGCAAGTGCTCTATTCTGATGCATTTTGGCTCTGGAAAGATGCATGTGACTGCCAGACATCCAGAGTGTGAGTAATGTGTAAACTGTAATATGGATCCAAGTATTTCAGTATTCCACATTCTCAGTGCTCCCGGGATTCTTGCTTTGTTCTTGTAGCTGTGCTGTGTTGTCATTTCCCTGTCAGAAGGTGAGGGAGTGGACAACACCGTAAAATGTTGGTTAGATTTGTGCTGTAGCAAATCACCTTGTGAGACTCCTCCTGAGTCCCTCAAGATGAGAAGGACTTTTCTTTTTACTTTTTTTTTTGGCTTTTTCTCATTTTTCTTTTTCCTTTGTGACATTAATAGTCTTCCTCATTGTACGTGAGTGACATAAAGGAAGAGTGATAAGAGCTGTGAAGCTCAGGGATGGTATCATTCTCACGACTCTGCCTTTTTCTTAACATTTCTGTCTGGTGGGCCTTTTTCCTGCAGGCAACGCCCCAGCCAGGCAGCAACAAAATCTGCTTCCAATGCATCCCCAATATATCTGCAATGCTTTACGATCACAACCGCAAGGCCTTCCCTCATTAAATCTGCTGTCACTCTCCTGCTTTCTGCAGCCGTTTCTTTACTCTTAGTTTTCTCTGGAAGTTAATCCTGAAGTTGTTCCTCGCCTCCAAGACAATTTGGACTTCTGTGATATAATCCTATATCTTATTATATATATGCAATCCCATTTATGTGATCAATAGATTTTTTTTAAAGTAATGTGTAGTAAAACCAACCGTCGCTACAAATCTATCCTTGGCCTGCCTGCTTCTCCCCTATGACCCTAAATACAAGGCTGGAAATATGTGAAGTTGGTGGGGTCCAACCTGGATCTCCGTAAAGTGTCGTGGAAAAAACGAGTGGACATCATCCCCAGTCGGCTGAGCACAGACACAGAGACGAGCTCAGATGAGGTCCCCCACCCCAGCTACGCCAAAACACCCCTGCCAGGTGAAGTCCACTAGACAGCTAGCATGCCCGCTATTATGCACGGCCAGTCAGGTGCGCAGCAACCAACGTTTCTTTCTGCCTTCGTGATTTGATGCTGTCAGAAAAATCAAAATTTGTCTCGTCATTCAAATTTGGGCTTCAGTTCCTTGTCCCCTTGCCCCTAGTTGGCACCTATCCCATCTATCCTCCCGCCACCTGCCCAGAGAGGAGCACTGGCATCAACTGCCCCACCTCCAGTTGATGATTGGGGGCAGGCTTTTCCAGGTGCCTGTCTCTGTCTGTTCTCTCTCCCTCCCAATGGGGAGGTAGTTATCTGGAGGCAGCTTGTCGGGTGTGTGTAAAGGCTTATTACTGTACGGCTGTATGGAAATAATGGCTTGTTAATTAAATCCAGTCTCATCACTGCAGGGCAGTTTCAGGGACGAGACCTTTCCTTGCAGCTGTTAACGGTTTTTTTCTTGCAACTGTATTTGTTTTTGTCTTCTGATGTGACATTTTAGATGCAAAGTACCTCATGAAACTGGTTTGTAAGAACTTACTTATTCACATTTGGCAGGCTGTGGATTCTCCACAAGGGGAGCTGTTGAGCCAGTATTACATCAGTTTTCCGAATGCCAAATTAATAGCAGCAACAGTTTATATCTGCAGATGAAGCCATGCCGCCACCTACAGGCAAAGAAAGTTAAAACCTTTGTAACATTATCACTTGCGTGCCACATGCATAAAATGAGTGTTCCATTCAAGGGATGGCGATGTCAGTCTCTCGGCTGATAAACCACTTTTTGTACAGACCAAAAACAATCTACAACTATTGATGGATTGCCATGAAATTTTGGACAGAAAGTCGTGGTCTCCAGGGAATTAATCTAAATGTCTTTTGTGATCCGCTGACTTTTCCTATAGGTTAACATTTTAGTTTTTTAGTGAAATGTCTCAACAACTCTTAGATGGACCGCCATTGAATTTGTTATAGGTAACCAGGGGGCAAATCCCATTTACTTTTGTTATCCCTGAAATATCTCAACATCTACTAGATTGATTGGCACAGCATTTGTAGACACCTCCAAAGTTCCTAGACTAGTAATTCTAATGACGTTTGGTAAAATGTATCTAAAAGGAAATTTAGCTCACTAACATAGGAAACATTATACCTACTTGAGATCAGCGTGTTGACCATGCTAACATGCTGACAGTAGTATTCAGTTAGAGCTGCTAATGCAGCTGTAGACTCTTAGTTTTCTTGTTTGTTTTTTGTAGTTGCTGTTTGTGTGTTTCTTAGATGTTACATTTACATTTAAGTGTTAGCTAAAACAAAACCAATACAAAAAATAATTTCTTGTAGCTACAAAACACCAAATGGTCTTTGAAGATTTGTAAATAAATTTAAATCACTTTTCTTTTCTAAACATCTATGACCCTCTATAGCAGTTTTAAGTTGTAATAATAACTAATACATTTAACAGTTCATCAGCTACAAAAGGAAAAAAAATGCACTTGCACACTCATTGCCTGCAAGTGGCGCAATTGATAAAATCCCAGAAACTATTACTTTCCTTTGCCAGTAGATGGCGCACATTTGCCAGTCTAAAATGATGTTGCTGTCTCTGTAACCTGTAAGTGAATGAGGGGAGGGCTGGAGTTACAGGTCGGAAACAGCTGGTGCTTCCTCTGTAGATTGGCTGAGCCTGGTTTGGGGTGCTTGACATCAGTGGCCCTGTGTTGTTCCAATCAATGTCAGAACGCTTGAATGCTAACTGCTACATGTGCTATGACCTCTCTGCTGACGATTCTGCCTCCTATTGTGGTGTTTCCTAGATTACACGGTGAATGGGAAGTGGGAACAGAACTTCCTTTTCCCGGGGGGATCAGGGACACGCAACTTGTCAGCATCGTCCTCTCCTATGTCCACTCTGAGCTCAAACTACAGAGGAGCAGGCGGCTCCTTTACCACAGAAACAAACACCACACACTACATGTCCGGACAAGGTAAGATGGACGCCAGTAATCATCAAGGAAGATTTAGATAAAATATTAAGACATTATTTGTATTTACCCTTTATCTTTCTCTCTTCGTGTAGGAGGCTCTCGTAGACTTGACATGATCGGAGGAGGAGGAGTTCACACATCAGAAGTCATCATGAGGAAGCGCTCAGAGAACAGGGGTTACACCGATGAAAACATCCGGGACTCTATCGTCATTGGAGACGTGTCAAGCCAAATCTCAGACATAAGTAAGCATTAGACTTCAGCAGTGTTTGAATTTAATCCAGAGAAAGATTTTACTTTGGTGTGCAATATTTGAGATGCCTCAGCAGATAAACTGTGCAGGCGCATGACGCCGACGGCTTGGACTTCTGTTAGCAGGGTTGGGGCTGCTGGCTTGTTCACACTGACTTTGCAGGAGCTATGCTGACTATCGCTGTTTCTCCCTCCCCCCCACCCCACCAACTTTGCTCTATTTGTTTTATTTTACCTCTTTTTTTAACTTCACTCCCTACCTGCCCACCTCCCCCTCCTACTGTGCTGTTTCCATCATTTTCTCTACCTCTCTTCAATACCATCCCTCCGTCCTCCTCCTTTGCCTCCCCTGCTCAATGCGCCATCAGGTGGGCTCGGCTACATTGGGATGCAGAGCAGCTCTCAGAGCCAGTTCAGCTACAGCCTGTCTCAGGGTTCGAGGGCCAGGACCCAGTCTTCAGACGTCAATGAAGCCCTGTATAATCTGGACAGGGTGCTGCAGGGTAAGTCTGTGGCACACAAGCATGAAGCAGTGGATGTGGGTGTGACGCGTAATGCTCCCCTCTTCAGTCGTTTTTAGTCCTGCCTCTGTGTTCTCATACCTCGACTTCCTCTCTGATCTCCTCTTTAAAGATTTCACCTGTTGTTTATGTGTTTTACCACCTTAAGTCACTAATGTGTTACAACACTTGCAACCATTCTCTTGGTTGATTTTCTACTCATCCATTTTTGTCATTGTCCAAAAGTATTTCAGTTTGGTATTTCTTCAAGCTGCACTAATGACTGCTTTATATTAACAACGGATCAAATTAATATGTGCAATGTGAAAGTGGTAGGTTGTAATGATGAACACCTACATTTATTAGCAAACCTTTATAACCCTCTAGAAAGCTTTTTAGCATCTTTCAGTCTCACACTCTCATCAACCAATCAAAAAAGCTGTTTGTGATGACAACTTTAGAAGGTGAGCATTTTCAAACAGCTTGTTCTGCTGCCCCTAAGTGGCCAAAGTTAAAGCAGCTTAGAGTTCTTAAGCACACTGTAAAGAAGAGTTTTTGTCTAACCGCTGCCTACTGAACCAGTGATAATGTAGACGAGAAAGTAAATATGTTTAATGTGAGGAATAACATAAAATGGAATCACATTTTTCTTCGCAAGTTGAATATTATACCAAACCAATGGAAGTAAGTGGCTGTCTGGTAAAACAGCAACAATCAAAATCTGGATTAAAAAATCTTCAAATAAATGCTTTGGAAAATGGTCAGAAGTATTGCAAAGTACTTCTCTGTTTTTTTCATCCAAACAGAGATATACCACATATTTATAGTGATCATATCCTACAGTATTCTTTCCCTCGTCCCTCTGTGTCACCCATTAGATGCACGAGTTTCTCCGGGTATTCCAGACACCCCCAGCAGACTGGTGTTTTCTGCTCTGGGTCCCACTGCTCTCAAAGTCAGCTGGCAGGAGCCCCACTGTGAGAAAGACATCCTGGGCTACTGTGTTCTCTACCAGCTGCTCAATGGAGGTACATGAACCCTGCGAGGACAATTTACTGCTTGTTGCATGACACTAAGCACCAGTGTGCTGTAGCATCCAGTTTTCCGCATGCTACACATTTACTGATTTTCATATGTAATGTTTGAGTACGTGATGCTGAACAACCTGTGTCCTCTCCTGCAGGTGAGGTGAAGCGTATTGACGTGATGAACCCAGCAGAGAACTCTGTGATCATCCAGGACCTGCTGCCCAACCACTCCTACCTATTTAAGGTAATGGCTCAGAGCCAGGAGGGTTGGGGTCCAGAGAGAGAGGGGGTCATCACCATCGAGTCCGCTGTCGACCCCAAGAGTCCCCTCAGCCCCATGCCAGGTACTGATTCTGTTGATTTAATTTCACAGCTTCTTGGATTAACCCACAGACACAGTGACTCAATTTCTTTTTAAGCAGCTATCAGAAGCACAGTGTCTCTCTTCTTATTCTGTCTGTCTCATCTTTCACTGAAGGCTCACCATTTACTCTGAGCACTCCCAGTGCCCCGGGCCCCCTGGTCTTCACCGCTCTGAGCCCTGATTCCCTGCAGCTCAGCTGGGAGAAACCTCGTAAACCCAACGGAGACATCCTGGGCTATGTAGTCACCTGTGAACAGCTGCATGGTGGAGGTGAGGCTTTCAGGAACACATTCATATAGTTGAGTTGTGAATTTTCCAGGTTCCCATAAGCTTGTTAGTCTTTGTTCTGAAAGCATGTTATTTTCTGACGTCCGTTTCTTGTTTCCTCCAGGAGACGTGCGCTCCTTCCAGGTGAACGGCGACAGCGCTGAGACCAGTCTGACCGTCCCAAACCTGACTGAGAACGTCCCCTACAAGTTTAAAGTTCAGGCTCGCACCACACAGGGCTTCGGTCCGGAGAGGGAGGGAATCATTACCATTGAGTCTCAGGATGGAAGTAAGATGAATCCTACTGACAAAGCCTTCAATATGAATGAAACTAAAAACAGCCTGTCTGTGTTTGCATGTTCTCCCCATGTCTGGTCTGCGTGGGTTCTCTCCGGGTGCTCCGGCTTCCTCCCACCGTCCAAAAATCATGCGGACTAGGTTGATTGGTGACCCTAAATTGTCCTTAGGTGTGACCGTGACTGGTTGTTTGTCTATGTGTGGCCCTGCGATGGACTGGCGACCTGTCCAGGGTGTACCCCGCCTTTCGCCCAATGCCAGCTGGGTTTGGCTCCAGCCCCCCGCGACCCTGTACGCAGGATAGGCAGTTGACGATGGATGGATGGACAAAAAGTCCGCCTAGTGGCCGCTAGAGCCTGAAAAGTTTATCTCGTCTCACAATATGACAATGGGGATGAACAAAAAGCATGTTGATATTTCTCTTAGTGGGACTAAAATAGCAAACTATGTTGTAAGGATGGCACTAGAAGAAAGAGTATAGGGTCCTAAAACAAGACTGTTTCTCCTGTAGGAGCATGAATAGGCCTGAAGGGACACTGGAGCAAAGCATTTTCGTTAAAAATGTGTTTATTCTCTCAGGGACATGAATGTGCTCAGTAAATTTCAAGGCAAGTGGAAAGTTTGGCCTGGTGTCGGCACTATAGAGAATGTGTTGATTCATCTCCTGGGGACCGTGAATATTTGCAGCAATGTGTGAAAAAACCTGAGGAAAGGTGACCTGTTATGCTTTTCCGTATTTTCTGTCATATCTATAATGAAACAATGTCGGATGTTCGTGTTAAACGTGGCCAAAGCTTCTATACATGGTCATTTGCGCGCAGCCCCATCCTGCTGGCAACCACTACGCCTTTGTTGAAGTTGAAGTTGTTTAATATGTTGCCAAAAAAGTGCTTTTTCACTTGTGAAGGAAAATTAAGCTTGTTTGGTTTTCCTAAAGAAGACAGCGCCAAAAAAGATTCCTCCTCTGGGGGCCATGAATTTCAGCAGTCGTGGAGAAATATTGACATGACGGTCATCAAAAATCATTAGAAACGGTCCTCTGTGACCAAAGTGACTGACATGTCAACATTTAACTTTGTCCAATATTCTGTTTAGCTGCTCATCATTTCGGACATTCCAGTAAGTAGCAGTGTAGTAACATCTATATTTCTTTCCTTCCTCGCCCCCTGTAGGCGCTTTGTCTCATTACAACAGCCAGTCAATGGTGAGGAGGGAAGTTTTCCAGATGCCAACAGATGTCAGCACACGAACCAACATCTCCCACACCATGATCAATGACCCCTACTTCTCAGGTACAAATTAAACTTTCAGTTTTGTTCTCCAGAAAAACATAAAAGTATATGCACACATTAATTCCAAGGGCTCTTCTCTACCAGATGGGATGATGATGACCACACAGCACACAGAGACCAGCGGCCTGGTGACCCGTCAAATCACCAAGGAAGTGGTTCAGCGGAGCGTCGTAGGAGGAGCCACCGTCTCAAAGAAGATGTTTTATACGTCCAAATAAACACCCGAAAGTCCAACATGATGAGGAATCATATCTGAGATTCTCTTTTAAAAAAGAGTCACGCGCCATCAGTGTATGTTTTTATATGTGTGTGTGTGTGTGTGTGTGTGTGTGTTTTGTGACCAAAAAAAAAAAAGATTTCATGTACTAAAGAGGCCCCTCTATCGTGTCTGTTACAAACCGGGGCCACGTTCCACCACAGATTGGGTTCATTTTAACATTTACAGTCATTTTCACTGTTGCTTCTGATGTGTTTCATTCTGGTTTCTTTTCACTAAGCAAATCATTTAGTGTTAGACTCCACTCCCTCTGTCGGTTCAGATCTGGTAACACACACTGCGGCTTTAAATCAGGCCAGCACAGGCCAGTAATCTGACTGCGGTTCAGTAATCCAAAGTGACCTTTGTCTCCCGACCTCCACCTGTCTGTAAGAGATGTTTTGTCTGTGTGCGGTGTTTTGACTGTTTCTGGTGAAACCCACCAAATTTCAACTACTCTTTATTTTTAAGATGCATCTGCTTGCAGGGGAGATTGCCTTGAAATTGCTGTGGTCTTACGCTGAGTTATCAAGAGTATGAAAGTGGTGTATTTGGGACTTTTGTTCATAGATTTGTATTATATTAAGTATGATAAACTTTTTATCCAAACATATTTAATACTTAATTTTACTTTAAAAGACTGGCATTTAACTTAATGCCAAATACAGAGGTATTTCAGCAAACGCAGGTTGGTGCACACACACATTTCCTACTGACAAGCAAGGGCCGTGATTTTTGCAAAACAAAATCTTTTAGATTTTATAAGATGTGTTATACACTGCTACAACTTGATACTTTTCATGTTTCTTTACTCTGCAAAGCCATTGTATTAAGAGTAGATTAACAAGCGAACAATGAGATCTTGATATTTTAGAGAAATGGTATGTAAAGACATAAAGATTGTATTTGCTTCAATGCAAGTTCTACTGTATTTTGGCTCATGTATCTCTTACTTTACTTTTTTTCATTGTTTCTTTTTTTTTAGTATGGCAATTCTGTTGCACCAAAATAAAGATTTGAAATCAAGTTTTTCTTAGATGTGTGACCACTAATGAGACAAGATGGTGCATTTACAGTTCATTTATTTATGTTTGAGGGGGAAGCATTGATATCTTTCGTATTGCACACACACAAACAAAAGCACATCTGCAAAAACAAGCTCATGCCTGACAAGTGTTTGCAGGAAGCTTGAGACAAAGAAGCAAACAGAGTGGGGATTAACTCTTCACATGCGTCAACCCAGTCTGTAATTATCTGCGAGTTAGCAAGCTCTCATCAGCTGCACTGATTGGATGCACGTCCGTTCACAGTGCTTTCATGCTTTTTATAACATCTGTGAAGTGAGTTTGTTCTTGTTCTTCTTTCACCTCTAAGCAATTAAAAAAAGGAATGAAAAATAAATAAATTTTATATAGCCGTTGTGGCATACAAACCTTCAACTCCAATATCTGTGTTTTTTATGTTTTGACTTTGAAAGAAAAATATATGTTTCTTTGTGGGTTAAGGAATTCCATCATTATGGACTTTAAACCCTCTCAAACCTTTTTGGACAATGTGAAGAAAACATTACTGTTCAGCTGTTTTGTGAGTCTTTTTTTCGGACAGCCTCAAAATATTTATCTTTACAATACAAATAGTCAAACACTGCATGTCTCTATGAAGGCAGAGTAACACAAAGGGTAATGCAGAATGATGGCGGTTCTTCTTCCTGATCTCACAAGGCAACCCGCAGACAGAGTCAGACGTTTAGTCCACAAACAGCACACAAGATTCAAATTCACTAAATAATGGACCAGAACAGAAGCACAGACTCTGTGGGTTGCTGAGGATCGGGACAGAGGAGTGATTGATGTGTGTTGAGCAGTTCAGTTCCAGAGGCAGGGCCCGGGGCAGAGGCATGGCTGTCTGACATCTGCAGGCCTTATCACCAGGTCTTTGACCACCTCCACAGTCCCAAACACGGGGTACAGTTCCTCTGTGAACTTCTCACTGTAGGTGTACAGGTGGGAGCGCTTCTCCACATCGTAGAAAGACAGCTGGCCCTGCTCATAGTCCAGGTACACCCCAACTTTCCTGGGCACCAGGCTCTGTGACAGCGGGGTGACGGGCACCGTCAGGGCTTTAAGATCTGTGCCCCTCTCCAGACGGAGGGTCAGGTAGCCTGTATCTGTGTTGAGCGAGCGGAAGCCCTGCCTCACCGCGGATGCCTTGGCCACACCCAGCCGCCAGTCCCGCTCACCGACCTCCACCTCCCAGTAGTGGCGTCCGGAGGCGAAGCCCTCCTGGCCGACGGCACACCGCCAGCCGTCGAAGCGTCGCTGGCAACGCGGTACGGTCCGGCGCTCCAGGCCGCACCGCATGCGCTTTTCATCAGTGGAGATGAGCAGGTCTGGGTTGGCCGAGTCTGAGTCCAGAGTGACTTCCTCTGTGGAGTTACACACCAGGAGGGAAAAACTGTAATATGTGATGAGTGATTATAACGAGGCAAAGAGATGATTTGACTGTAGGGCTGCCCCTCACTAAAGCACATTACAGACAAATACAAAACCGTAATACTGAGCCTTTAAACTGTATATTTTACACGGCACACCAAGTGAGCCGCCTTATATCGGAAAGCGGTAATGACTGAATGTATCAGAACAACAAAATTTTCTTAATTTATTTCAGCACAGTATAATATCCCAGTCTCATAGTTCAAAACGCAGAAATAAATAACGCCACAAGAACAAATACTCGCAGACTTATCACCACGATGGATCCCCACCTGAGTCAGCGTCCCGGCCGGAGGTGCTGTAAATCACCTCGGTACTATTTGCCCTGTTGTCAAACTCCTTTGGTCTCACAGGCTGTGTTCACTGGGAGGCTGCTGAGCCCATTGCCTACTAGCTCGACTCCAGTTCTGGTGCTCATTTTGGAGCCCCTCGCAGGCAGCAAACCTTGTGGTCCTCCCAGCGGTCCACTGCTCTTGTGCTAGTGGTGTAAACAAACACCAACAATCTCCAGTACTCCTAGCTAATGTAAGAACCATGGATGTATAATAAGACCAGCTGAGTTCTAACAACCAGTGTTGGGAGTAACGTGTTACAAAAGTAACGCAATTACAGTGCAAGCTGGTAAGTGACTTCTGTGCTACAAGAGAAAAGGTCCGTGTTGCAACAATCCCGATACTTTCGGCCCAGCCATAACGAGAAGGCGCAGCTCCTGACTGGATTGTTGTTTTTCTGTGACTAACTTAGCTATGAAAAGTTGGTTAAACAAAGACTCTTCTCATCAACTACCAGTTTTGTTGACTATTAGGGGGCAGCCCTACTTGACTGCAAATTGTTTTCATACCTGCAGCATCGCAAATCCAATTCCACACTGTAAAGAAAAAGAATAGGAACTCTTTAAAGCTGCCAGCAACATGATTTATATTATCAGTAGTTCAAAGGAATTTGTGTAAGGTGAAAGACATCGCTTGTAGTTATGAACCCGCAGAGATTTATCTCTGAAAACAGCTGACAGAGCTACTGACTAGTGAAGTTAGCAACTAGCTAGAGAACATGGTGAAGCATTTAGCAGCTAAAGAGCCAGGCTCAACTCAGGAGCTGGTGGAGACCAAAACTACTAAAAATAAGCCATACTATAATGAATTAGAACAAACATCAACCGACATAAGTAAGGAAATATTTTGCAATAGTGAGGTTCTCCTTATGTTGATCATTATCAAGGTAAATAATATTCGGAAGATTCCAGCCCCAGTCTATAGATCATTAATGAAAAGAATCGTTTGTTGTAGCAACTAACATAGTGCTTGAACTTCAGGGTCATGACATTTCAAAAACGGTCAAGATTTCCACTCACCGCTGTGGGGGATGTAGCGGACAGCGTCTGACAGAAGAAAGTGATAAACGTGATTACAAGGAGACTACCAAGAGTTTCATACAGCCCCCAAATCCTTCCACATGCTTCTTTCCCAACCTGATTTTATGCACTGTCCTTTAATCAATTATCGATCCTGGTTGGTTCTAATGGCTCATAAAGTTTCACTACTACTGTATGGACACATACTGTAACTGATAGCTGTGCACACACTAGGGATGGCTTTTCAGTGTCTTGGATGCTGACTGACTTCTTTATAATGTGATGTTTTTTAAGGTGGGGTATTTAAGGTTGTTTACTGCTCTTTATCTTTAACACTTTCCCAAATTAACAAGAGATACTTTAATTGCACTCACCAATCTTCTGGCTCCTCTGCTTTCTCACCAGCCATTGCTTAGTCACATCCTCCTAAACATACACACACACACACACAAAGACAACAGCATGTTTCAAATCCTTTTCACTTTTAATTAAACAAACTAATTTCTTCTTTGGCCCTGGAACAAGACCAATGTTCAACACAATCTACTCGGGGAAATACTGTGACCGACATCCAGACCTTGACAAGGCTGTCAGCATTCAGCACGGCCAGCATGACGAGCTCCATGGCCGGGAGAAGGCTGGGCAGGCGACCCCTCTTCCACTGGAACTCCAGGTCATCCAGCATCATGAGCACAGGCTCCCCTGGCCAGACGGTGGGCTGGGAATAATAATAAACAGTGTCACTTTCTGTTTAATTTGTGACCATAGCTCCAGCACACTGTAAATATGATGCCGTGATTGTCAAGGGCAGGGTTAAGTTTAATCATCTTTATCAGATGCAGGGAGGGAACTGGGTCAGACTTTAATCACCAACCAGCCACCCCAGTCGATGAAAGAAAGGGCTGCCACGCATTATCCTCAACGTCCACCGCCCTATAGTCACCTGAGGTCTGCTTTTAATCTCCCGTGTCCAGTCCAAGATGACTCTTTTGTGGGGCCCCATGTCAGACTCCCCCCCTGCCTCCAGCATGCACAGGAGGTGTCCCTTCCAGTCTTTCTTCTCTGGTTTCTCATACTGGTAGTCAGACAGGATGATCCTCGGCTGAACAAGAAACACAAACATTAAAGTAGAGCTGCAGTGATTAGTCTCCTTCACTATTTTCTGACATTATATAGACAAAACAATTCAGATTGAAAATAATCGGTAGTTGCATCCCAGACCATCCAGTAAGCAACACCAACTGTCGACCGTGCATACCTGTACTCTCTTCTCCAACACAGAGGCCCATTCCACGATGAAGTCACGGCACACACTGGCTGGCCAGATGTCCTCACTCGTCCAGATGTGGCCGAGGACATTTGACCTCTGTGGTAAAGATATACATAACGTAGATGAGCAATATGTGGATGTATCATGTTTGTCTGTGACACATCGCACAGAGGAGGAGGAGAGCTCACCTGGCAGATTTTGTTGAGTTCTCGGGCCAGTTCCATAATAAATAGCTGGCTCTCCACCAGCGGCTCCTTCTTCTCATGTCTCACTCGCTTGCGAGACTCCTGGAGCAAAGAAGCACAAGAGAAAAAGGAAAAGAATAAGACTTGATGAACATTTTGGAGCAAGGTGTACAAATGTAGCACTTGCAGCAAATGTTGTGCTATCAGAGGACAACAGAGTCGTATACCCGTACCTTGAGTCGGATCTTGAGCTTTTTGGCCGGCTCGATAAGGAACTGCAGGCAGTCCTTCATCATGCTGGCAGCCGGAGAGTGAGGCCGATGCCCTGTGGTACAATAATAAAAAGCTTTAGAGCATTGGCACTTGCTCTGTCAAGAGCTGGAGCTGAAGTGCAGCTGACTGGGCTCCTGTTGCCCACGCAAATCGATGGGAGAGCAGAAAACGTTAATTTATGAGAGGTGGCAAAAGGTATGTATGTGGGTAGAGAGAGAGAGAGAGAGACGGGGGAAAGCACTGCAGAACTTTCATCACAGCTCTGCACTTGAAGTCCACAGAGACTCATTATTAGGCACTCTGAGCTTGCATTAGGTGAGGAGGAGGAGAGAAAAGAGGACCCACACATTGGAAGACGAGTGAAAAGAGACAGTCCACCCACTCAGCACACACACAATGCCACAAAATGAGTGGGAAAGAAAGACACCATGCAGAAACAGGCTGAAAAAAATTGCACAGTAACAGGATTTCCTGAAGCGTGTGGGGGTCGATGCATCTTGATCACAGCCTTGAAATTGGAAATTTATTCCCAAGGAGATTTGAGACAGCAGCGCAGAGCGCTTTTAAAACACTGCGGAGTGTGCGGGGGATTGTTGGACCAGTTTACTGTTGATTCAGCAGTCCGCCCCTGCACGTTTGATGTGCTGAGGGGATTTGCTGTTCTTTCTGTGATGTAGGGGTGGCAGCTGAGCCAAAGGACGCTGGTATTGACTTTTTCAATACTGATGAAGATATATGGTTTTGAGGAGTTTTATGACTTTGACAAAAAAAGAAATCTAACAAAAAACATCCAATAGAAGGGCTAAAAGATAAGACTGGAAGTTGACCTTTTAGTGAGCAATATCAGATAGATCTGAATGTTTTTCTAGAACATTACTGATTTCGGGGGATATTTTTCTCAATGATGATGATCACTAAGTAGCTACAGTGACCCTGAAAATGCAGTGGTGAACGAGGTTTTTCACATAAAGAGTCGCGTGTCAACATAAATATAAACTTTAGTCCAGTAGGGCCTCGGCACGTGCGTGAAAGCTATGCCATAAAGCCTGTTAGCTAATTAAGTAGATAGCCTACAGTACTGCTCAATTTAAAATACATTACAGAGTAGAGGTGCGGGGAAATATGCCATTACACGACTCGTCTATCAAACTGTCGAGAGAAGGCGTTTTACATGTTCACTTGTGGTTGATAGAGGGTTTATTTTTTGTAGGTGTAGGTGGAGAAGAGCTGTGTGTGTTGCAGAGGAGCTGGAAGATTAGAGGAAATCTAGGATTATCACCGCTGCTATTGCTGTACAAACCCAGGTAGTGACTTTCTATATTTGGACTGCCAGACCAACCCTGCTTGCAAGTCAGAATTAAAACACGTATAATAGGACCACAATAGACCGCGCGCAACAACCGACACATAATAGCAGATATAATGACTGAAAGAAGGTAAAAATGGCTGCATAGTTTTCTTTATTATCGACCGTCGACAAAATGTATAATTTTGAAATAAGGCCTACTAAGAATAAAGATGAACAAATAAATTGCCCTCGTGCGCACAAGGCTGTGTTTCCAAAGATGAACAACAGTATCACTATTAGCATATAAGGCAGACCATTTATTTTATTTAATCACGCCCTAGGCAGCGGCGGCGTTCGCAAGGTCTATTAAAATGGACGTTTTGAGAAAAAGTCTGACCTGGTTATGGAAGAATTATCCTTTCCGCAGATAACTTCAAACGGCTCCTCTGTGATGTTTTCGCCGAACTCTGAGCCGCTCAGCACCCCGCCATCCTTCCGACCGAGACGCACCTTTTCATCCACACTTCAAGTGCTGCACGAGAGAGACGGAGCGCGCGCTCTAATCCACCGCCAGCTGCAGTTGGAAAGAAGAGCCGCTCGAGGTCGCCACAGCTGAGGAGAGCCAGGGAGTCACATTCTCTTCTATAACGTTAGATTTCTTTGGGTTTATTTGACTGAACTAAACACCATTACAAGCTCACAGTAAACGTTTTTAAAGCACCATTAGACTGCGCCTGTGCTAACACTATCATCTATCACTATCATGCTTATGGCCGATTATTAAGCTAATTAGCTTAAAAGAAACTTAGTTTAGTTAACTAAAGCTGTTTGCACTTTCTGTTAGGCCTATGAGGTATTATCATTATTTTACATTAGCTGTAAGCTGTAAAGATGTAGTGATTTAACCACTTTTTTTCTTGAAGCACCTTTTATAGGCTATACGAATATGTAAAATGATTTCAAACATGAAATAACGTCTCTGCAGCGGAGCACGGCTCTGTATTATCAATATGATCATGTAATAAAACATTAATAAAAATATGGCTACAGTCAACACTGAAGGCAGCTCGGCAGAACAGCAGATGTCACTACAGCCGATAAACACCGGTTCAAAACCGTAGGCTATTTATTTTCAGGGCGCAGAGAGCGTGTATAAAACCTATTTCTCGAGGCAGGCGTTAGCCTACATCATTTGATCTTTCACACAGTTGTCCACTCTCTCTCTCTCTCCGTGTCTGTGGCAGTGGCTGTGGGAAGGTGTCTCGGTATGTTAGGTAGCCTAAGCTATACGGAAGTGTGATAACAGCGCGTGTGGCTGTGTGTAAATGATAGGAGGTCTGTTGTCAACGACAGACTCTCCTCGCAACTGGTCCCCCAACATGGCACCAAAAGACCCTCTACTCTGCACTCTCAAAGGTAAGGATCCACAATAAACGCGCAATGCAAACGTGGTGTTATTGGATCATACTTTCAGTTTCAGAGGCAGCTGATCGCTTCGTCCAGGTATGCGCGTCTTATGGCGACTGTGATCATTTCTGTTTCTGCATACCCCCCCCCACACACACACACACTCAAACAGCACCTGCCAGACCGTTTGTCTTCTGCGCTGCCTGTTGATGTGTGAAATGACGATCGTCGATGATGATCACTTAGGTTGCATGGTATTTGTGGCAGCTGTCACGCTGACAACGTGTCCACTGTCATTTGCGTGTTGTTTTTTCCCCTCTCCCAGTGTGTGTCTTAAACCTGCAGTCAGATGGAGAGATGGTGACAGACACCAACCCTCACCTCGCCTCATGCTGTGAGCTTCTTGAGCTGGTCCTCAGGAAGGGGCTCCAACGTCAGTATCCCTATAATATTTATTAAAATGCAATGCTTTATAGCTGGGTATACCTGCCAACTACATTTGTTGAAATGTCAGTTTATGCTTTAAATGGTTGTTTATTATTAAAATCCCACGAGGCAGAATTTGATGTATGATGTAGTGATAATGTAATGATAAATCATCTGACTACATGTAGTACTACTACATGTAGTACTACAGTACTACATGTGAAATACATTTCTGCAGTATGGACTGAGCGTGTGTTTGCTCTCCCTCCAGAGCCAATTCTCAGTCTGGTACACAGAGACTACTGGCAGTGTTTTGAACAGCTTACCCACCAAGATACCTGTGGCAGGTAACACCATAAAAAACTGGAGCAAAATCAATATTTTTAACATTGTTATAACTACATGCTGTAACAGAAATTGCTCTAATAAAAATTGCACTATTTCAAGCCTTTTTAATATCTGTAATAACCTGCTGATGTGTGTGTGTGTGTGTGTGTGTAGGCTGTCTGCTCTGTCCTTGGTGGTGGAGCAGACCAGAGTTTGCAGGAAGCTGCTCTCAGCTCAGGGCCGGGGCCGCTACCTGCTTAGACTGGCCCTTAGCCGCAAGGCTCTGCCACAGTTCATCACACACCTGCTGCACACACCCAGAGTCCTGGAGGTCAGATACATGGACCAGATACATTTTCTATAATGCAAAATATTTCGAAGTTGATGCCTTTTTGTAGTGCTGGCCGTATGTGTGTTTTCCTGGCATTGTTTGGTGCTCTTTGCAAAGTGTCCACCAAATATGCCCATTGTTAGAGTTAGTGGAAAAGTCTCTCTAATAGATTAAAACAGCTTCTGTTCATACTGTTTCTTTCCTCCAGTGGTACAGTCCGGCAATGTCAATCCTCAGGAATGAGTTGTTTGTGGGTGAGGCTCTTAACTGATTGTTTCCACTAAATGCCGAGCAAAGCTGAGGAAATTCTTGTCACCACTGCCATTCAGTGTCCAACACGAACAACAATTTTTTCCCTCTTCCAGAGCCTTTCATGTCGCTGCTGCTGGTCCTCTCTCACATGGAGTTTAAACTGGACATGGAGGTCAGTGCCAATCCTTTAAATATGCCATTAAAAACTGCAGATGTGCTGTCTATGCAATTTTGAAAAGCCACATGGAATTTTCCATTTGGTGAAAGGCTGCAGCTAGTCTTTTCAAAACACTTTGAAATCAAACAACTCTATGCTAATAACCACGTCTGGTCTCTTCACACAGAATTGCAGTTTTCTGGATGAGAGCTGGCTACTACCGGTAAAAAAACAATGATTATTGTTAAGCAACTTACAGCATCACAACAATATTATCATGGCTTTAGTAGCCATGGGAACTGGAAAATCCCTGGAGAAATTTCCCAGGGCACATTGCAGCGAGATAATGGAATTTGGACACGAGAGGACGGTCTGTTAATTGTTTGTGTTTGTTTCCAGGTGTGTGAGACATATGAAGTAGTGCCCTGTCGGGAGGTGGGGATGGTGTTGAGGTTTGTATCTTCCACTCTCCTAAGTACTTTTTTCCCCATCAAGTATATCCACTCATAAATAGATCCGTCCAACCTGCTGCATCGTCTCCCTCCGTCTCTCAGGTATCTCAGTGGGCGTGTCTTTGTCCTCGAGCTGATCCCTGGTAGTCAGGCTCATGTGGACAAGTTTATCTGTCCTGGTGACATTATTGATGTGATCAACGGGACCTCGCTGAGGAATTCCAAGAATGGACAGGTATCCTCAAGCATTTAGTGTCATGTGGATGGAACATTACAGTTGGCCTTTTTGGCAGCAGATAAGCCACAATAACAGGACCCTGAAACTGAAGCAGACATGTTAATGTTACACCTGTGCTACTGTGACATATCAAAAATTCTTTGAAAAAGGCCTGTATCACATGAGTAGGTTGTTTATATAATGGTAATAAACTTTATTAATTAAGTACAAAGTGCTTCACAGAGACACAGAAGAATCAAATTAAATACCACAGTGAATGATAAAATGCACGGTACGTTATATAATACAGAAATAATGACAAGAAAATAAAAACCAATAAAATAAATAGGCAGCTCAAATAAAATCCGGATATGCTTTCCAATAAAAGTACGTTTTTTAGAAGCGACTTAAAAGAAGAAACTGACTCAGACTGCCTAATTTTCTCAGGCAGGTCAATCCAAGACTCTGTCCCCTTCAGTTTTCAGCCTGGCCCTGGACACACCTGCCGGAAGATCTCAAACTGCACAAAAGTTCATAAGGGATTAAAAGGTCCAAAATATAATCTGGAGCCAGGTCATGGTCTTAAAATCAACCCTAAAACTAACAGGGAGCCAATGTAAAGAGGCTAGAACACCTCTTGGTTCTGGTTTGCCTAGCAGCTGAGTTCTGTGCAGTCTGTAGTCGTTTCAAAGTTTAAAGCTGCTACACTAAACGCCACACAGGGGACTTTTTCTCAGAACTGTGTTATGCACGTGTGTATACAGACTGTTTGATAGGCATCTCCCTGATTCTCCTGTTAGTTTTGTGGCATCAGTTAGGGTGGGACAACTTACAATTTAATCATTTTTATTAATACATGTAGGTAGGTGAAATTACGCAATTCCCAGGTTAGCTGCAGCTAAACTGAGCAGGGCTCTAATCAGCCAGAAAACGCCTGTGCGGGTGTGCAGGACTCTTTTTGTTAACACAATCCCACTTGAAGTTTACAATAAGGCCATAACCTAAACAGGTGAGAACAGCAGAGGAAGTGATTTTTGATTCTATTAAAATGACCTAGATGCAGTACACTGTAATGTTGAAAGAAAACATAAACAATGGAAATAAATCGCCGTTTTGATAATTTTTTAAATATAGCATTTAACTATATTTAAGAGCATCCAGTCCCACAGCCCTGCTAGTACAGATGTTCAAATCAGCTGTGAAATGTACACACATAATGATGTTGTTTATGGACAGATGGCACAGCTCACATTCTGTGTGTGTTGCACTATTGATTGAACCCATGAGACACTGGCAAGTCACACCCTTGACAAATCCTACAAGTGTTAATTTAAAAAACCTGCCACTATCAAAATTGTGTTTACATTTGCTGCAGTACAAGCCTTAGAGCTTGTGTACAGAGTTACAACACATTTTCTCTATTTCCCCAGGCAGGTGTGGTTCTGTCTCGGCTGAAGGGCTGCCCTCTATCCATTGGCGTTCTGCGATGGAGGGCTCAGGATGGAACAGTGTATCGGCCCCTTATCAAACTCCTACAGGCCCTGAGGATGGAGAACCCAACACTGCAGCTCGGTCCTGCTCCCTCCCAGCAGTCAGACACCAAGGACCAGGACACCTCCCCGTCACAGTGTCTCAGAGAGGGGAGGCAAGTTGGTTACCAAATATTTAAGGATGACGTTTCTGTGTTTACTCTTGACTTTAAGACTCTGACCCTCCTCTCCTCAACAGGATTGTGTACATTGTGCAGTTCATGGGAAAAGCAAACATTGGAATGGTGAATAATCACTTTTGGTTTACAATTTAATATATGTTCAATCATTGCATACCATATATATGTTGGTCTCAGTTGATGTGATCATATCCTTTCCTATTAGTTTGGCGACAAGGAGGTGCTGCAGCACGCCATTCCACAAGTGTTGCAGAAAAACCTGCCTAGCAAGGTAATGAAACCTCTCCTCTAGCTCATGTATTATGTCATGTTCTGCAAACACTTCAATATCAACATGGGCCAAATCAGTGCAACTTGTCCTGCAGGAAGTGCTTTTAGACATGAAGGAAACACATTTGACATGCACAGACAGAAACAGTAAACTGGTAAGTAGCAGCATGATTTCAAAACTTCTTTTTTAGTAGAAAATGTGACAATTAATTAAAAGTCTCAACACATTGACTTCCTCAGGAGCTGTTTGAGCATCACTATCCAGAGATTTCATGTGTGGGAAGATTCAGTCAACCAGACTACACAGTATTTGCATTCTGTGTGGCGTAAGTATTAAACATACCCTGTGTAGCAGATGCCAATGACAGATTTTCCTATCATACAAGTGTCTACCTTGCCCCCCCCCCCCAGACACATGATGTAATACACAAGCCATTACAGCTCTGTTGTCATTGGCTGGACACTGATGTCATCTAAGTGTGATTGGCTCCATTCACAGAGACTCCCTAGAAACCCCACAGCCAGCAGGCTTCTGCTGCGTGGTGCTCAGAGCCAACACCATCAAGGAGTGTGAGGAGATTGTCTGCCGTATTGGTGAGGCAGTCATTTTTACATGGTCATTTATAAAACTTTACATGTTATGAGATATTGAAACATGTCCTCCCCCCCCCACAGCTACTGGTTTCAAGCATACCGAGTGGTTTGTATGACTGAAACTCTGTTATGTTGTAAATAAATGTAAGATGTGTAGAGACCATAAACATTGCATTACTTTCTGAATATTGCAACTACATTGTAAAGCAACCACAGAACACAAGTCTTTACTCATAGAGACCTTTAATAGAAAGACATGTGACAACATTTTCATAAATAGTATTAAATGTAGCTGCCAAGATTTATGTTGAAAAACATGTAAAAAGCAGTCCAGAAAAATACAGGGAGGTCTGCCATGCTCGTCACAGAGTGTAGAGTATCAACTGTTGCAGTCAATACAGACACTGCCGTGAGACCTGTTGAGCAAGACATGCTGGCATTTTGTGGTAAATGGTTGATGGGTGAGGGAACCCTGGACCCCCCATGGAAGATGCGAAGAATTATCCTCACATAAAAGGACAACTCCCATTCCCAGAGGATGCCCAATACACACAAAGAACAGAACATGTGGTATGGTGGTTTACATGTAGTAATGATCCATGATGAAATAGGTAGCTACTCCTACTGCAACATCCTACCTACCAAGTATTCTCAGGCTTGTGGAATGATTGTAAATTGTCCCAATCTAAAATACGATACAAAAATTCAAAAAAGAACTTGTAAAAAACACCCAAGAAATAAAAATGCCACAAAACGGTTAAGTACGATAAATAGGATAATTTGTCTTAACACAGCCACAAGTAGCTGCTTAGGCCCTCTCTCCCCTTATCCTACGAGCCAGCTGGATGTCTTTGGGCATGATGGTGACACGTTTAGCGTGGATGGCACACAGGTTGGTGTCCTCAAACAGACCCACCAGGTAAGCCTCACTGGCTTCCTGTTGGAAAAAGACAAACTCATTAGGGTCACAGCAACTACTGTGCATATTGGCCCAACAGTACTAGGACTCTGAATGTTAAGTTTTACATCTTATTCACCTGAAGAGCTCCAATAGCAGCACTCTGGAAGCGCAGGTCAGTCTTGAAATCCTGGGCAATTTCTCTCACCAGGCGCTGGAAGGGCAGCTTACGGATAAGCAGCTCAGTGGACTTCTGGTAACGACGGATCTCCCTCAGAGCCACAGTTCCAGGCCTAGACAACGGTAGAGTTAAGTTTAGTATTCAAATATGTAAACACGAAAGGAATACATGCCAGATTAAAAAACGTATGAGTTGATTGGGGCACCTGTAACGATGGGGCTTCTTCACTCCCCCCGTGGACGGGGCGCTCTTCCTGGCTGCCTTGGTAGCGAGCTGCTTCCTTGGCGCCTTTCCTCCGGTGGATTTACGAGCAGTCTGCTTGGTACGGGCCATCTCGTACTTGCTACAGTGAGAGAAACCGATATTATCTTAGTATGACCAATTTCAGTACTAAACGTTAAGCCAATTGAAAGAAACTCATGTTACAGATCGGACACGCTAAGACGCTAACGTTAGCCTACGATTTAATACAGCTCCCCTCCCCCAAGATTAATGTAACCACTGGGAGGCGTTTGCTTTGATACGCTTCTCCCTATAAACACTGTTCTAGTCCAACGTTACCAGCAAGGCCTAATTAAGAGTCATCAGTAAAACTAAATCATGTCTTCGCTAAAAAGTAATGGCACCATTTATCTTCAACTGTTTAAGACAAGCGCGCTGCAAACACTAACGTTAACTGCGTTAGCGTCTCACTCTGCGCCTGAAACATACCAACCCAGTTAGTCAGTCTTTGCTTTTCTACTCCGCCATTTTTTCAGCTTCTCATTTCTCTCCCAGGCGACATTGACTCGATTCAGCTCTAACGTTACATACATTAGCTTCCATCTAATTAGCTAATGGCTCGTATTAATAGGAGTTAAACTTCAGCTGTTAATTTCAGTTGACGTTGGGCTTGTTTACGCTATACTAGTTTAGCGAGCTAACTGTGACGTTTAACTAGAAACGTCAATTGTGGGAGATTCCATTGTTCTATTTTTAGCTAGCGTTAGCATAAGCAGGTCGACATGTCGGCCTGTCTCTCAAACAACGCCTGTAAACACAAACATGATTCCCAGATACATAGCACGGTAATGACAACAAATCCATGTACTTTTTAAAATAGCAAGGACATATAGGTGATATTTACCTTTAGGACGTCGGTTGGTATGAAGCAATAGCTGTGGCTAATAGTGCGGTGACCGCTGAAAACGGTTTGTAATGTGTAGAGGAGGCTGCGGCCGAGTATTAATACTTTTTTGTGACGTCATTCTTACAGACTACTACACGCTCATTGGTGCACCTTTAAAAGTGACGTGTAGAACAGCCAATCGACATAGACGTAGCAAATAAAAAAGCACAAACGTGAACTCGGTCCCGTCTTATTCTCTGATGTTTCCGGTTTTGTTTTGTTTTTTTACAAAAACAGATATATGAACTATTTAATGCATTGTCGATTGATTTCACTTCTTTAATGTCCCGTGGTCTTCGCAATCATAAGTAAAGTTATTCTTGAACTTCATGTCCCATAGTTCCGTGTTTTCCTAGTTGTCCCTTTGCTACTACTTCCTCCTGCCTTGCGCAAGCTCACATCGTTGTAGAATGCGGATTTCGAAGCTAATACGAATAGCTAGCCAGTAAGCTAAAAACAAGGTTCTTGTTAGGCTTTTAAACGGGTAAAATGTCTAAAACACACTCACAGCCCCCATCATCTTCGGCAGCGACGACTACCGGGGGACCTTCCTCGTCCTCTTCATCTTCATCCGCAGGGGGCTCGACATCTCCCGCAACCGTGTTGAACGTGCAGCCCGAGAAACCTCAACATTACACGTACGTAGCTAGTTAGCTGGATTAGCTAGCTATGTGTACACAACCTCACGTGTAGTTGCAAATATCAAACCACAGCTAAATTGTATTTGAAAAAATGAGCGAGTGATAAACTTTGTATTGTTTGAAGTGACTGAAACAAGCCTATTCAGCGATAATGTGCTTATATTAACCGGAACAGGTCTTGAGAAAGAGGCCTAACCTTACACACAAACAGTGGCCTTTTCTTACAAGCTTTGTGGCACAGCACACCGTTACTTCCAGTTATGTATTTGTGGATATGTCTCACTGCTGCATAAACTTAATGCTAGTTAAGTTATATTTTATATTATATTTTCGGTGGAAGAGATTTGTCTCAGCAGCAGAGGATAAGACGTATAGGGACCCCTAGAAATATAATAACTATAAGCAATGATTTCGTAATGTACTATACATTTAAATACACTCTTGCATGTGTAATAAACTGTAAGAGACAGTAACACTGGCTAGAAATGTATTCCACTCTATCTTGTTGCTTCCCTCTCTCGTAGATATCTAAAAGAGTTCAGAACTGAGCAGTGCCCCCTGTTCGTACAGCATAAATGCACACAACACAGGCCTTTTTCCTGTTTCCACTGGCATTTCCTGAACCAGCGGCGCCGCAGGCCCATCCGCAGACGGGATGGAACCTTCAACTACAGCCCAGACGTTTACTGTACCAAATATGATGAGGGAACAGGCACCTGTCCTGATGGAGATGAGTGAGTACAACTGAGATTTCAGTGTTGTACAAAACTGCGTCACATGATGTTTGCAATGATTATCATGGGCCCCTCAATAGTCACCTATACCTACAGCTACACCTACAAGTTATTGTTGTTTTTGCACTGAAGTGCTAGCCACATTGTACCCGGGAAGATGACACTGGTGACTGATTGTGAAACACTTTCTGTAGTGGGTGTATAAAAGTAAATTACAGTAAAATGAATTACGTGGCCATGGAACTAGGTGTTTTGGGGTTTGCAGAAGCCTCTTTAACTCCAAATGGTTAAATCTTCCTGAAATTCAAAGCATCATTCCTGTTTCATCTCTAACAGTAAGCCTTTTACATTTAAATCACAAATTGCTCAGGCGAATCACCAGAATGTGTAGAGCATAGCATGACAAAGAACCTTTTTCAGTATAGTAAGTCAAGCTGAACACCTTGGTGTTTGGTTCAACATCTTCACTGTAAGCATTAGCACCTGAACATAGCTGTTCTCCAACTCTCTGGGTCTCTTTGAGACTGAAATGTCTTTATTGTTCTTTATGACACCCTCTTGGTGACAATCACAGACAATGGGATGTAAATGCAAAGGATTAAAGTTGATTCAGAGTCAAAGTGAGATGTCTTCAAAACATGCTAATGAACCACTTGGTGGAGTGCCAAGTGAGCATTTCCAACCAGATTCCAGTACTATTCTCAAATTGCCTCGTTGCAGAGAAAAACAATCACCATTACACAAAGGTGGCACGAGTTCTGAAACCTCTAGGACAGAACCCATGGAAAATTACCTATGTTTAGCTGGGAGAAAAAAACAGTTATTTTAATCTAGTTTGGACAAGAGCAATAATATTCTGTCAGTGTTCTATACTTGCAGATGGTTTGTCTGCTGCAGACCAGTGCTAATGTTTTGTCTGTGGTTCTTTTTTTAATCTTCTCATGTTTTATGCTTTTATGTTTACAACCGTGTTAGCTGTGCTGGTGGCTGTCTTGACCAGGACATTCTTGAAAAAGATATTTTTAATCTCAATGACTTTATATTCTGGTTAAATAAAGGTATCCTAATATTTTATTTTTAATTATACAAAAAACAATGCCAAACTTCTGCTGTTCTAGCTTCTTGATCATTGTAAATATATTTTGGGGATTTTTAGCAATTTTATCCCCTTGGGACATGGGAAATTGTGATGTATATTTCACAATTTTTGGACATTTTACATGCAAAACAATTTGTTGATTAATCAAGAAAATAATTGGCAGATTCGTTGATAATTGTAAGTCGCAGCCTTGGTATACGATACATATACTGAACACTCTTTACCTGAAAAGGCCTGTATGTCTTTATGTTTGGATCCATGATTTCAATGTGATTCTTCTGTGTGTTCCAGATGCCCGTTTCTACATCGGACAGCAGGTGACACAGAGCGAAGATACCACCTCCGCTACTATAAGACAGGATCCTGCATCCATGAAACAGATGCAAAAGGCCACTGCAGCAAAAACGGCTCCCACTGTGCTTTTGCACATGGATCTCATGACCTGCGCAGCCCTGTTTATGATATCAGGTGCCAAAATAACTTAATTTTAACATGTAACACACACACACCTACCATCATATCAGTGTCTGTGATGTAGTTGTTTATAGAATTTCTTTGAATTTTACAGAGAAGTGCAGGTAATGGATTCTCAGGGAGGCTCGGGGGCCACAGAGGGAGGAGGAGATGGACAGTCAGGGCAGGCAGCAAGTACAGCCCTCATAGAGAAGACCCTGAGTGAGGAACCACGCTGGCAAGGTAAATCTGTGTTACAGCACACCAGCAGGTGTTCAGCCCTGTTTTAAATGAACACAAGGTGCTGCATTTGGTGGGAACGTGTTACTGAAGGTACTGATGACACATGAAATATGATTCAGATCCATGAGTTTGAAGGTTTTTCAGATGCCAAAACACTATAATACTCTGAGACAGGATTTTACTCTGGATAGTTGTCAGATAGGCAACTATTTTGTCTTTCATCATAACCACCAGGAATGAGCACTTGCATGCATTTGACTGGCTAACACAGCACTGTATCTGATGATGCTGCATTATAGTCATTGTATGTTTTTTCCACTGGAGCCCTCTGCGTTGGCACCCTAATGCATCACCAGACTGACCTTATTCAAATGAATGAAAAGGCTGGGTTTTTTTTTTCATGTAGGGCTGAAGTTGGTCTGAACACGGCCTTACTTAACAGCTAGTCAGAAGTAGTAGTCAGGTGTCATGTAAAAGATACATTACCATTGATGGTGATTATTATGGTAAGGTCACGTCTGTATGCCACCGGGCACTGCTCTCTATTGTTGCCTCTGTGACCCGATTTTGTTCCGTCCTCTGCACGGCTTCATACCACTCAGGTTGCATTTCAGAAGTGTTTTTCCTGCTAGAATTTGCTGACTTGCTCAGATTTTATTGATTTGATATTTTGTCCTTGATTTTTGCACTTCTACCATGAGTAAGAAGCCTATATAGTTAAATGGTTTCCTTTTTTGTCTGTTTTAATTGTGTTTGTTGTTGTGTATGATCGGGAGTCTGCACAGGGTGTTTTATTTTGAAAATTGACCGTTCTGTGTCTGACTTTTTGCCCGGTTCGCTCTAGCCACGTATTCTCCGTGGAGCTGAGTGGAGAGCAGCTTCTGGGTTTCTTGTAAAACATGCTGCGTATATCTGGTGGAAGCACAAGCACTGTATAGAAAGGCTGATTCAGCTCTGCATTGCAGCTGCAATGTGCCTAGGGGAGTTTAGCCTTCAGGGTTCATCTGTGCTTCATATGTACTAACACAGTATAAACCTTCTAAACGCAGTAAAACAGCCTCACTCCTGTTTACTGTTAAAAATCTTGATCTGATGACTCTTGACCAGGCCTCACTGTCTCCTTCTGTGTCTCGCTCTAGATAACAACTACGTGCTGTCCCACTACAAGACAGAACTCTGTAAGAAACCACCGCGTCTGTGCCGTCAAGGTTATGCCTGTCCATACTACCATAACAGTAAAGACAGGAGACGCAGCCCACACAAACACAAATACAGGTGCTCCGTTACATCATGTAAAAGGAAAATGTTTGAAGCCCATGGTATTGTTTTTTTTCCAGACTGTGAATATGTTTGACAGAGTTGTTGTTTGTCTCTGACGCCACAGAGCATTGCCATGTCCAGCTGTGAAACAGAGTGAGGAATGGGGAGATCCCAGTAAATGTGAGGGAGCCGAGGGATGTCAATATTGCCACACAAGAACAGAACAACAGTTCCACCCAGAGGTTTGTGTGTTTCAGCAGAGACCTTATAGAATCGCAGATAAGAAATCACAGAAATATCAACAGGTGTTGATTTGTTGCTTTGTTCCAGATCTATAAATCCACTAAGTGTAATGACATGCAGCAGTGTGGCAGCTGTCCCAGAGGGCCCTTCTGTGCCTTTGCTCATGTTGAAAGTAAGTCCCCACAATACATTTCTAAGCACCTCTCAACAACCGTCTGATAATTCATTTTGAAATTTAACATATTTCTTATTTTGCTTTTTAAAACCTCCGCCAGAGCCCTTTGTTCCAGAGGAACCGTCATTCCCCACACCAAGCTCCCCTCCACCCCCAAGACCTCCAGACCCTCTTCCCACCCAGGAAGCTTCTTCAAGTCCCAGCAGACACAACATGGGGCCTAGGTCTGGTTCTGGATCTGTTTCAGACCCTTTCTACCCATCTGCAGGGTCATGTGTAGCGGAGCAGGGACTGCTGGGTAGCGTTTTGTCTCTGTGTGAGGATGTGAGTGGAGGAGCAGAGCCACCGTCTCCTTGGGCGGGAGAGGGAGGGTATGGCAGAGCGCCTGGATTTGAGAGGGAAGATCAGGTGAGAAGTACAGACAAAGAAAAAGGGTAACATGGGCTTTATGATACTGTTAAATGAAACAAAAGAAATACTGTTCGGTTCTTATGATTCTTGTATTGTTTGTGGTTTCAGGCTAAGCAAAGGAGTTTTGCTCTTGAGCAGCGCCACAGAGAATTGGCATCAACACAAAGCAAACAGGTAACAGTTACAACCTTGAACTCTTTATCTTTTTATGCTGATTTCTGCGTTTGTGATAATCTTGCTCCAAGGACACAAGCATTAAGTAACACCTGTTTCTCCAAATACCACATTCGTTCTCTTTCAGGACTTGTTAGTGTTTCTCCCTGTGGGCAGCCCTTTGAGTCTGTCATCCAGCATCCCCTCCAGTTTGGCCGCCACACCGCCCAGTCCTGCCCCTCTCGGCCCCCTGGGATCCGGCATCTCCTCAGGCATGAACGCTAACGCCCTTCCCTTTTACCCCACTAGTGAGACTGTAGAGTCAGTTGTTGGTAAGTGAAGATGTGCAACGTTCAGAATCCACATTTGAAGCCGTCGTGACATAACCAAATCTGAAATAACTGTTTTGTTCTGGTGTTGTGTGTATTATAGAGTCAGCCCTGGATGATCTTGACCTGAATGATTTTGGTGTGTCAGCGTTGGAGAGGAGCTTGGAGAGCAGCTCTGCTCTGCCCAGTGTTGGAGTTATGCTGGGTATTTCAAAGACACAAAAATAAGCACACAGAACTACATACAGTTTTTAAATGTTAAAAAATGTACACAATTTATCAGAATGTATATGCACAATAAACATATCTCATAACTACTACATCTCTTTGCCTTTATAGGAGGTAGCCAGTTCCAGAGTTCTGCCCCAGTCAATATCCCGGGATCCTTTAGCAGCTCTGCTCCTTTTAGCTCCCCTTCACCATCTCCCCCAATCAGACCACACGCTTCACCATTCTTTTCCCACCTGTCACAACCTGGCCAATCAGAAAGCACCTTCCTGGGACCATCTCATAGCTCTTTAGGTTTGTGGAATTTGAGTCAGGACATTAAGTGGTGTAGTGAGGGTTTTTATTGATTCATTCTTTTGTTAATATTTATTCTTTCCTTTGTAGGTCTGAATGGTATGAGCACTAATATTTGGGAGCATTTCCCATCAGGCCAGGGTTCCCCTGGCACCCCCCCAACCCTTTTGCCCTCTGGCCCCTGTGCAGACACTTCCAGGCTCAAACAGGAGCTGGAGGAAGCCCATAGGACACTGAAGCAGTGGGGTCACAGCTGGAGGCACACAGCTCAGGTAGGTAGGTAGTGGGGCATGAGTGAAATGGCTGTTTGTGTGCAGTGACTTGCATGTTTATGCACATTGCAGTGACTGGCAAAGTTATGTATAGTTTCGAACGCATATTCTGTATTTTACCTCTTGTAGTCGTGGGCTGCGCTGAAAGCAGATGCAGAGGAGTCCCGTGCTCATGCAGCACGGTTAGCCATGGAAGCCGAGAGAGCCAAGCAGGCTGAGGAGGAGGCACAGAGACAGGCTTCTCTCCTGCAGGAGGCACTGGAGAGCATAAGGAGTGGAGACAACCCCCATTTAGCACTGCACCAACTCCAGCTATTACACCGACTTCCCTTGGAGTCGGTCCTCAGTTTGCAGGCTCAGCTCTGTAGCTGCTTACATGCTGTGGAACAGGTAATGCCATAGACTCATAACTTACATGTACTTAAGTCAACATATAGACCTGCATGGTAAACCTAAACTTATATGCTCCTAACATGGTGTGTTCCGATTAAATTGTTTCTGTCAGAATCCAGGTTTCTCAGTGCTGGCTAAAGGCATAGGCCATATAGGCGGTCGCATAGGTCGCCAGTCTATATAAATAAAAATTCACCGGGCAGGGCTGCAGACTAACTTTTTCCACTAGTAGCACTTGTGCTCTCAACTGAAAACTTAAGGAGCACCAGCACAAAATTAAAATCGACATGACTCCCTGGTGCCCTCCTACCTGATTCATGAGCCATGAAAACCATTTGCCACTGCCACACAGTCACACCTGACACCACAGTGCTCGAACATAATGAGGTACAAACAATATTTATAGAATAGAATTTTTCTATAGAATCTTAGATAAGTGAAGATTAATATAAATAAGAAATTGTAGAAAATCTAAAATATACTGAGCTTTGGCTCTGCTCTCTGCTAATTATTCCAGCCAATCAATTCATTTTAAATTCTATATTTAACCGATAATCAATGTCAATCTGTTGCTTTCCATCTTGCGTAAGTCCAGAGTTGTAACTTAACATTTGACTGAGAGACTAGATAATCATCATCTTATTTTAAAATGATATGTACATGTGTGCCTCACTTTTGTCAGGCACAGAACACAGTCCTGGAAGTGGCTGGCAAGCAAGACACAGACAGACCAAGAGATGCACTGCCCAGCTAGGTTAGCAGGAAAGATAGGCTAAAGAGAGACTGGAGGTGAACAAAATGTGTGGTGGCCTAAATCATCCAACATTCTTCAGTTTAATCTAAATCTTTTCCTCTGTGTTTTCCAAGGTGGTATACAGGAAACAGAGACAGTGCTGTGTGACATGTGGAGAGCAGGGCTCAGTGTCACTGCCCTGTGGCCATGGACTACAATGTGAGACCTGCTCCACCTCTACGGAGTGCCCGCTCTGCCCTGAACAGACCCTGGAGCAGCAGCTCTCTTGACCTCACAACCCGCTCAGACCAACGCAGATTCCAGACCAGTCGGTCCTGATTCCACAGATACCAGCCTTGGATCTCAACCGCCAATCAAAATTATGTCGAGGTCATTTTATAACGTAACAACTTCAAGCACTGATCTGGTTTTTGTATTTTTAAGATGATGTTTACTGATGAATACCCAGCTTAGCGAGCACAGGTCATTAAGTGAAAGTTCTTAATGTGCGATTTAGGATTAACAATTTTTCCAGTGTTGGCCGTGGAACACCAGTACATTTTACTAGTTATTGTTCTTGACCAGCAACACTGTTCTTTACCCATGTTCTTGATTTGTGAAAATAACATTAAGACCTGTGTTATTTCTTCTCTAACCCTGACTATGAAACACTTACATACATAGTTCTAAATCATATTTTGATATGTTTTAAAGAATACGCCCACCCTAAGGAAAAACATATTTCTGCAGCGTTATCTGTCCATCTGGATAGTGTGATTTCTTTCCAGAAATCAAGATATTTACTTGTGATAATCCACAGTTAAGAGCAATTGTAAGCCCACTAACTGTATATGCCATAGAATAAAGTAAACCAGTACTCAGAGATGAGATGCACATGCTTTGTGACGACACAGAAGTGAATGTAAAACTACCAGCTGTTCTCTTGGCAGAAGTATAACTACGTGATGCTTGGTGGCCTGGTAGTATCACTCTGGTTCACTCTGCTGTGTGTTTACATCCAGTTCAGAGTACCATGAGTAACTGCATTTATCATTTCTGGAAAGAGTTTGTTGTGTTGTGTGACAGCAAAGATCTCAAAACCTTCTAGATGGATGGATGACCGGGCAGGTTAGCAGCCTTTTTGTGAGAGTGATGAGATATCTTAACAAAATCAACAGGTCTGACTGAAAACACTTAAAGGGCATATTTAGTCCAGACAATGAGCCTGTATTGCTCTACAGCCAAAAGGGGGCCGTCTTACCAGTGTGCTGGTTGCGCTTGCCCGGATTATATTGAATTTGAATAGATTTTTGTTTGTGTGTTTTTTTTTTTTTTAAAGTAAAATAAATTTAAAATTGTCTGTTGAATAATAACAGAAAATATTTAAAATGTAGTACTATTTGTTTAAATTCACAACAGATGGCCTCTGTGAAACTCAGGTTTTCTCTAATATTCTTCTACAGAAACTGGAAGAGGAAAGCATGTTAACACAATCAAGGCAAATGTACTCAGTCAACTTGTGTAGTCTTTAAAATTACATATTTGAAATTTTTACTTAAATGCTTTTCATTTTATTTCAAACATATACACTTTTGTTAAAACCGGCCCATTTGCCATGTTAAAAATCAACATGTGACAGGTTTCTCTGCCGACATTTTTACAGTTGTAGTAATCTTTGACATTTCAGTGTGTCAAATGTAGTCTAATATATATATTAAATTAATATATATATATATATATATATATATTTATATTATATATATATATATATATATTATATTATATATATAATATATATATATATATATATATATATATATAATATATTAATATTATATATATATATTATATATATATTATATATATATTTAATATATATATATATATATATATATATATATATTAATATATATATACATACATACATACACACACATAGTTACGTGATGTCATGCTTATCTCTTGCACTGATCAGGAAGCAGACAGAAATGTAAAGGTGTATGAGGTTTAAATGCAGGTGTGAAAGTGTTCATGATCACTGTGATGGTCTTTGCTAAAACCCACTCAGCATACTGTTCACACAAAACTCATCCAACACCAGTGTTTCCTTCTGAGTGGATTTTTCTTTGTTTTTGGTACAGATCATTAAAACAAATTGTATATTTTTGGAGGAAGAAACTGTCTGCGTGTTGGTTATGGTTGAATTCCCTCCAGCGACTGTTTCTCTCTCTGTCTTCGCTTCTTCACAAAGACCTGAGCCTCTCGCTCTCCTTTCCTGGCCTCCAGTAACCTCAGAATGCTGTCCTCTGCAAAATGTATACAGAGAAGCAAAGTTCAGACTTGCAGGATTGTCAGATTGGCACTTAGATTTGAATTTGCTATTTGAGTGATGCCAACATCATCTGAAAGAGACAACAAATTTCTAAAAACAGAATATGGCTCTGATGGTTTGAGCTGAATTGGAAACACTAGACACCAATTAATATCCCAAACGGACATTTTCACATTAACATTGCAGGTCTTTGACCATTTGATAAAGTGGGAGCACATGATAAAAAAGCAAAGGTTACTGTTTGTAGAAAGGCACTATATATTTTACCAAGGCCTCCCACAGGGCGTAATGTGACTGTTGGGATGCAAATTCATCAAATTCCAGGACAATAATAAAAACACAGGCCCGGTACAAATTGGTAGTAATAGATGCATCCTGCCGGTGGATAATCTGGCTGATGAGCTGCTAAATGCTTCACTGAACTAGAAATGGGATTGATGAGACTGCAGCTTGTGAACTACAACAGTAAAGCTACAAGCCATAGTACCAAAACAGTGAACTGAAAGACACTAAAACACTGCATAAAGTCTGGCCCCTTTTCACAGTAAACATAATAATTTGATCTACGGTTCATTTTAAAATATTGATTAGTGCAGCTTTAAGTCATGCTCCATAATAAGGTCTTGTGTTAGACTGTACACATTGCACACTGGGTAGAAAGGGGGGGGGGGGTTAATAGGTTAATCCAGTCATACCCTGATTCAAAATACAAATATAAAACGTGCTTCAGTGGTCTGAACCCACTGACAGATCTTACCATTAGGTTTAGGATGCATCAAAGGGAGGCGGATCTGAGCAGGGACAGCGTCTGGCAGTGAGCTGAGTCCATCTCCTTCCCTTCCTCCTGGAACTCCTGGTATGGACTTGAGAGCCAGGAAGGCCTCACCTTCAAAGTCATCTGTACTCAAGGTGTCGTGGTCCAGAACTGTCACCACCAGGCAAGCCCCTACAGCCTGGCACTGATCCAGGGATACCAGACTGTGATACAGAGGAGATAGAGAGCAGAGGATGGAGATGAAGGAGGTCAGAGACCTCTGGAAAGCGAGTGGCTGTACAGGTTCAGAGCGAACACTGAGCCGTGATAAGACGAGAACTTACAATTCAAAAGCCTCGTCAAAAAGGGGATTGAGGTCAGATCTTTTGATCTGAGTGCAGCGGGGCTCTACCTCGGGGAAATTGTGGTTAGGCTCCAGACACAGCTGCACAAACGGATCGCTAAAACCTGGAAAAACATTAGGCCATCAGGAAAGCTCACACAGCGAATAGCAAGGCACATTTGCTGTAACGTATCTACATGGCTGTGATTGTTCTGCGTGGTCTTACCATTAGAGTCCATCGGTAAGAGATTGACTGCATTCAACACCTCAATTCTGAGTCTTTGGTCTGATCTCCTGTAGGACGCGAGGAGGGTGACTGCACCGTATTTCTCTCCACTGTACGCTTTCTGTCGTGCATGCAGGAGAAACAAAGAAAGTTTGAACACCTAGCACGAGTTTGCCGTAGTCTTCAGAAGCGTTTGTCGCGGGAGGCTGTCTCACCTGCTCCAACATTTTCCTTTCAAGGAACTTCTCCACAAGCTGCCGGCTACTCAGAGAGTTGTGATTCAGGTAAGCTTTGAGAGACTGGACACACGGGACAGAAAGACAAAATATGAATGTTTTCACGTTTGTTTTCTATTCCATTCTTATGAAACTTGGACATGATAACAGCTACGATTCACTCAAATGAATCCCCTCTGTTGTGGTCTTCAGTTACTCGCCTTGTACTCATCAGAGTGGAGTGTAGTCAGGGGGAGCCCATTTCCCTCAGCGTGGAAACACTGCTCCAGGCACTGAAATTCAACAGGAAATAAAGTGTACCATGAAGCTTTGGCCCTCTGTAAACCCCAACATGTTGTTTTTACATGTCAGCTTTAGATGTGTGGGTTTATTTGGCTATAGTTTCCTCTCAGCAAGAAAGCTTGTTTCCCAAAATGTCAGACTGTTACTTTGTGGAAATCTTTCTGAGCTCGGAGCACACAGTAATTTACTACAAAAGCTCTCATCTGCCCTCAAAATGAAGACGGCCGCTTGGCTGAGGACCAACCTGCAGTGTGTACAGCAGTCTCTGGCAGAGCACCATGAGCCCTTCTTGCTGTTGATGCTGAGTCGCCACCTGGTAGAGGATCTTCACTGAGTTATTCCACAAAGGAGTCAGGAGACTGGACACAAGAGAAAAACACAATTTCATGAGGTGATGCAGAGTGAAAGGCTGGATTAAATCAACATGAATAACACCTGGGACCATCACAGCTCACAATGAAAGACGTGGTAAGGTGATAATCAGGCAATGTACCTGTTGAAGTTTTCCTGAACCAGGTTTTCATTCATATACTGCAGCTCTTGCTCCAGGTAGCGCATCAGAGGGGCTGCAGCCTAGAACAGAGAAGAGGCTAGATATCAAGCATGCATAAAAGGCATCTGTATTTGTGTTACACTGGCAGTGATGGTCACTTACATCCTCTGTGGACTTGGAGGGAATCCTCCGCCTGGTAGACATGCTTCTGACATGAGTCTCAATGTCTGTGTTTAACTGGAGCGACAGACAAAAGGGCAGATGGAGAGGTTATGTTGAAGGCTTTTCTATGCCTTTGAGGATTTACTGATAATCAAATGTTACGTGTTTATGTTACAAACCTTTTTCCCAAGAGTGTCTAAAGCAGAGCGAATCTCTCGGCTGAGGACACTCTGGGCTTGCTGAAGCTGTGAGGGCAGAGTGTTGTGGAACTGGCTTTCCCCTATGACATTTTGGGTCAGATCTCGAAGCCCTGCCCATTTCAGCTGCGTAGGGAGACGGGTCAGCACTGACCGTAAGTGCTCCAAGTCATTCACCACCACACACAGCTACAGACGGAGGAGAAAGATTTGAGATGTGTATTATTCAGCATTAGGAATATTTCTAGTCAAGTCTTTTCTCCTCGCCTGCGCTTACCATGTTGATGGCGCTGCCGTGGTCGGAGTTCTCCGACAGCACCCTGACCCTCTCCTTCAGGATGTGACAGTAGTTCACCACAATCTTACACACATCCTATAAACACAGATCACAGCCAACTGTCAGCATCGCCACACTCCGAGCATCTGACCAGCATAGCATTTGATTAGGACCATGTTAATGGAAGAATGCTGCACCTCAGTGAGCTTAACCATGAGCATGAAGGCCTCCTCGGGGTCGGGCCAGGACAGCTGCTCCCACAGCTGGCAGATAGGCTGGATACATGCCACCAGGTCCACTGCTGAGGAACTGTGTTTTATGGGCACGGCGCCTGACTGCAGGGGCTGGAGCTGAGGGGGAAGTTTAAAAAAACTATGATTATGCTGCCTGTGGATGAAATAAACAATGTTTATTATAATAGTAAAGCATCAAAACATGAGTGTTACCTGGTCTACCTGCACAGCCCTCTCCACCCTGTCCTTAGTTGTGCTGAATGCCTTGTTCAGCCAGTAAGGCAGCGCCTCTCTGAAGCCCTCTTGAAAGTTCGTCAGCTCAAGTAATCCCCTGAAACAACAATAAAAACATTTTGATGTTTTTTTCCAGTAAATATGGTGGGAGTGTTTTTCTGGTTTTAGTTGCAGCTTGTAGAGCGGTGATTCCCAGCTAGGGGTACTTATGCCGTTTGCAGGAGGTATGTGGAAAGATTGTGGAGTAGCTGTACTAATTAGATAAAATATAAATTGTGATTTGATCATAAGCATCCAAATACTGTTAAATAGTGTGAGGCTGATCTTTAGTAAATGTATTATCACAATAAACGAGTAAGCTACCAGCTACATTAGGCCAACAGCACACAGTACCTACCAAGCAGCTTAAAAAATAATCAAAGTCATCTGTAGACAGTGAAAGTGCATGAGAACTAGCTAGTAAACTGGCAGAGATAGTTAGCTAAAAGTAATGGCTAAGCTTTGAAAATGATTTATTATTTGGAAATTATTAGCAAAAATGGAAACCTATAAA